AACTGAGGCAGAATACATGGCTGTGTTTGAGGCTGTAAAGAAAGCTTTATGGCTTAAATCTTTGTTAATTAGTATTAATGTCAATATATTTAAACCAATAATATTATATGAAGATAATCAAAGTTGTATAGCAATGGCAAATAATCCAGTAAATCATAAACGTTCTAAACATATCGACATTAAATACATTTCACACGAGAGCAAATAGAGAACAAAATGTTCTGCTTAAAATATTTGTTCACAGGTGATCAAGAAGCCGATCTATTGACAAAATCATTGCCACCACAGCAGTTCAAAATACTGAGAGAAAAGATGGGAATGCAAGAGAAATAAGAAGCAAATTTTTTTTTTTAAATTTAACTTGCTAATTAGCATTAAGAATAATTGTTATTCTTTCATTTTTATGTATTCATGATCTGGTTAGGTTTTTGTGGGGTTTTCCCTAACCCTTGCAATAAATGTTGGATCATTAGTTGTTAAACTTCCCCGTAAGCCTTACGCTGTAAGCCATATAGTAACGAGTTCAAACTCATATATTTTTGAGGGGGTTCGTTGGTTGTTATACAAAAATAATATTCTGTTCATTTAGTATATGGAGAATGGCCTTCTAGCAAGCTGTCAGTTATTCTTCATATTACTGTCAACAATAAATATGTGTATTTTTAAGACCGATTGAAACCAATAACATCCAGTAAAGTTAGTTATATAATAGCACTCGACTAAGCATCATTATAATTACGGCTCTCTTTTAATAAATGAACTATAAAGGATATTCACTGTGTATTTAATATAAGGACCTACCATACCTTCCAACACTCCTGAACTCTCATCAACTGAATTCCCTTTCCCAAATCTCGGGCAACGTTAGGGTACGTTTTGAATGTCCACACTAAAACGAAGAATATACTGGAGAGGGTCTTTGATACATTTTTATATCAAAATTAAAATACAGGCTAATATGACTGATAAATTGGATCGGACATTTTGCTTTTGAATAATTAAATTAATTTTTTGTACATCAGGAACGAAAACATGCATTTTACTCCCTCATTTTAGGGACTGAAGTGCCACTTTTACTCCCTTGGGATTAAAAAATTTTAGTACCGAAAATAATAAAACCAATAGAAACCATAGCAAACTACTTTATTCGGGAGGTAATATAACAGGACCTCTTTTATTTATAAGCGAATAAATTTATCGATTTTCCCGAAAATAGTTTCCTTTAAAACTTTGAATATATTTTTATTTATTAATAGTACAATTATTAAAAACAATTAATTACTATAAAACGTCAAAGTATTAAATTTCAATTTGACATTTAGTGTATACCTACTTGATTTACGTATATTTACATAAGTCCCATACTTTAATAAAATTCTGCAATAATATTAGTATGTCAGTGTGGCGTAACGGTAGAACGCCTGCCTTGTAAGCAGAGGACCCAGATTCAAATCACCGATAGGTTAGTTTTTTAATTTTTCTATTTTTTTCAATAACTTTTTATAATCATTAAGTAAACGATTAAATAATCGTTATGAAATAATATTAAGTGTTTTTTTTTCACATAATTATCGTGTAAATTTTTAAGTTTGTTTACTTTCGGGATTAAAAGTCCCTTGGTACATAATATACTATTAAAAGTAATAATTTTTTTTTATTTAGTGCAAATTTACAATCTACTCTAATTACAAAACAAAGAGTATTTAGCAAATAGTTTGATTTGTGGCATGTTTTGGGCACCATCCAGTGATGATTCTTCAATACACCTAGTCAGTTAGGTCTTCTGGCCATGTCCTTTTGAGCCTTCTTCCCAATAGCGGCAGCTGTTAAAGTAAATTTATAGTTTGGCTATCGTGAGCGAAGTTTCTTTCTTTGGCTTTGTTTGCATGTAGAGTGATAACATCTTTTATAAATGGTATCCCAAGGTCATTGTGGATTGTTGCATTGGTAACGTACCATGGAGTATTTGCTATCATACGCAGCGTATTTGATTGAAAGGTTTGTAGTATTTTTGTATTTGACGGTGTGCTGCAACCCCATAATTCGACACCATAGCTCCAAATCGGTTTAAGTATTATTTTGTATAATGAGACTTTGTTTTCTAATGACAGCTGAGATCTTTTACCTAGCAATCAATACATCTGTTTGACTTAGATTTAGGTGAGCTTTTTTGTTTTTATATGATTTTTCCACGTCAGCTTCCGGTCCAAATGGAGTCCTAGGTACTCAACTTCTGTTTTGATGGGGATGGGAACATTATTGATGTAAACCTGTGGATAATCGCACCTTCTTGTTGTGAATGTAATTTGTGTGGACTTTTCACCATTAATCTTAATCTTCCATCGTTTTAACCATGTCTGTAGCAAGTTTAAAAAGTTTTGCAGCTTTTCAGACGCTGTATCTGGATTTTTGTCTGATGTAAGGATTCCTGTGTCATCGGTGAATGTTGCCACAACGATGTCATCTTCAACAGGTATGTCAGCAGTAAATATGAGATAAAGGAAAGGATCGAAGACATTTCCTTGAGGAACTCCGGATTGTATAGGGTGGTATTTTGAGAATGAGGTATTTATCTTGATTTGAAAGTATCGCTTGTTCAGATATGATTTTAATATCAGGTATTTTTCACTAGACAAATGCTTTTTCACTTTGTATAACAGGCCTTTGTGCCACACCTTATCAAAAGCTTTTTCTACATCGAGGAATACTGATGCACACATTTTCTTTTCTTCTAAGGTTCCTTTGATATAATTAACAATCCGATGACACTTCTGTATTGTCGAGTAATTTTGCCGAAAGCTAAATTGATGATCAGGTATGATGCGATTTATATCTACTGTTTTAAAGATTCGGTCTAGAAGAAGTCTTTCGAAGATTTTTGACATTTTTGGTAGAAGGATTATCAGGCGGTAGGAAGTGGGTTCTGTGGGCGGTTTTCCCGGTTTCACAATCATGATGATTTGTGCGTATTTCCATTGAATGATTTGTGCGTATTTCCATTGAATTGGAAAATGGCACAGTCCTAGCATGCTGTTATATATAATCGTTAGCAAGACTATTTTCTGGGCATATGCAGATACTTCAATACTTCGTCAGTAATTAGGTCGTAACCTGGTGCCTTATGTGGTTTTGTTTTGTTTATAGCTTTCCAAATCTCTGTCGGTGTACATGGTTTTAGTGGTAACGATAACTGGCAGGAAGTATCAAAGAATTCGCATACTTCTTCATCTTCGGCATTGTGTTCCAGACCTGAGCGAGGTGTTTCGATAATGTATTTGGTTTTTCTTCATCTGTTTTGCCCAATTTCGATCAGACTTTCTAATTGGCGGAATAGATGAGATTGGTCTCTTGAATTTTTTGGTAGCCTGCCATAATGAATGATCATTAAGTGTAAGATTGGAGAGATAATACTTAAAAGTCTCGTTACGGGCCTGGAATAAAGCTGAGCGCAGTTGATGTGTTAACCGGTTTAACTGAGTTTTATCCAGAGGGTTCCTTGATCTTTGCCATTTGGCTCTAGCTCTTCTTTTCTCGCTTAGAATTCCTTTAATGTGTAAGAGAATATTATTAGTGGGTCGAACTTTCCTTGTCATCTGGAGTTGATTTCCTTGCGGCATCTTGTATTATGTCTGTTAAATGTTGCACTGCTTTTTCTATTTCATTGGGTTCTTTAATTCGATGATTCAAGTTGATATTTGAATTTATTATAGCTTGAAACTGTTCCCAGTTAGTTTTTTTATTGCAGAGTTTTATCGCAGGTTCCCTCCATAATATACTTGTTCTTAGTGTTATGATGATAGCGCTGTGATCGGAACTTAAATCAAGACTGGGCTCTCTATTTTGAAATGTATATTTGAGGTACCTTTGATAATGGCAAAGTCTAGCAGGTCAGGAATCTTGTTTATGTCATTAGGCCAATACGTTGGCTGATCTGTGGAAAGGAAGTTTAAATTATTTCTCTGCGAGTATGCCAATAAATTACGCCCGTTTGGTGTTATAAGTCTCGAGCCCCATGCGGTGTGTTTGGCATTCCAATCACCTGCTGCTATAAATCGTGGCCCTAGCTCTTGAAAGAAATTTTGGTATTCTTCTAGTGATATGAAGTGTCTAGGAGGAGAGTAAATAGCTGCAATGGTTAGATGCCATGTAGAAGTTTCTATTTTTATTGCAGTACCTTGTATTTTAAGTGTGCAGTATTTTTTTAAGAAATAGTGTTTAATAGAAGATTTAATAATAATTGCTGATCCAGCATGAGCGGTTCCGTCAAGATGATGGGTAAGGTATGTTGTATACAAGGGGATTTTTATTACTGTTCTTTCAGTTGAGTGTGACTCTTAAAAAAGAAGAATATCTAATTTATTTGCTTTTAAAAATACTATGATTTCCTGAACATGATTTGACAGCCCGTTAGCATTCCAGGCAGCTATTCTAATTGAAGAAGCCAATATTTCGTTATTTTGCTAATAACTGTCATTAGCATGTTCAGGATCATGCTATTTTGGTTCAGTAGCTGACTAAATAAGTTTTTAAATTCATTTAAGAAGCTTCTCATTATGTTTGTTAGGTCTTCACCGCTGCTGGGTCTGTTACTGTTTCCTGAGGTTACTTGGGCATAATTGATTCCATCTTGTGGATGTTGTTGAGACATTTGATGGATTAGTGGATTAGGATTTACGTATTCGCCTGTATTTCTAGGTTCAGTTATGGTGTTATTTTTGTTCCTTGATTTTATTAAGTTTTGATGGACAGTACAGTCTTTATAATTCGCTGGGTGGTTGCCGTTGCATAGAACACATGTTGCAGGTGTGTTTTTGGATTTTGTACAGCATTTTGTGTCGTGTGGTGCTCCACATTTAACACATTATTTGTAAAGCTTTAAACAATATGACTTGGAGTGTCCATATGCCAGACATCGGGTACATTGCACAATGGTGTTCTTTTGCTTCGGAGCTTCAACTATAATCTTGGTGTTAAATATGAATTCAATATCAAAAACTTTTTTATTGTTGTTTTTTGGTTCCAAGTCGATAAAAAATGGCGGTAGGGGTTCTTTTGTTACTCTGTGCCGTATGTTTAAAATATTCCTGTGTGGTTTTTTTTAATAATTCGGCTTTGATTTCCTCTAAGGGAACGGAATGGTGTAATCCTCTTAGGACGATTCTGTATGCCCTTTCTTGTTTGAGTTGGTAACTATGGTGTACTATGTTTTTCTCTCTCATGAAGTTGATTAATTTCCTGAAAATTTCAGGGGTTCTAGCATTTATTTTAACAACATTTTCAGGAAGAGTACTGGTAAAATAAGTTTCATCTGGTGTAACTTCTCCTATTGAGTCAGTCATATCTTTATAGTTTGTTACTCCGTAAACGTAAATAGGAGGCGGCTTGGGATCTTTTGTTTGGGTATTTGGGTTATCTCTATTTTTGTTACTATTTTGGATTGGGTTTGTATCTGAGTTTTCTCCTGAGAGCGTTTGGAACCTATTAGATGTGTTTACTGATGTGCCTTGATCAGGAGTTTATGTTATTTTAGTACGTTTTCTTTTCGATCTTATCTGTTGCCATGAATATGAATTTGTGTTTTCATTTGCATCACTTTCCATGTTTTCGTCATCACTTGATGAGGACGGGGGGTTATATTCTATTTCTTCTGTAAAATTACTGTGGTCTTGATTTGGACGATACTGTAGTGGTGGAGGAATTGCGTTTAAGTTCATTTGAGGTAAGGATAATTGTTGGGAATTAGATGGATGATTGTACATGTTGGGAAGAGGTGGAAACTGATTTTGGTAATACTGCATCATTTCTGTTGACATAGAGTTAGGTTGTTGCATGTATTGCTGATTTGGTTGCATTGGTAACATTATATTTGAGGGTTGACTCATTTGTACATTATATGTATTATTATTTAGATCAGGTCCTGCTCCAATCCCGGTCGGGAACCTTTTTTTTTAATTTAACGATTAATTAATTTTCTCAGCTGGTGCAATTGGGTCGCACCCAAGAAAAACATATGATATCAGGAATAATTGTAAAGTCTATATCGTCTTTGTTTACTTCTAATTAAAAGTCTATTTAAAACTCATTTAACTTTGCAAACACCCAACTAGTGGATAGTGTAATGTTCTTGCTGCTTCACTATCACTATTTTTAACTTATATTAAACCACTAATTTCGAGGTAGAACAGAAGTAAAAGTTGGAAAGGCTTTTGCCAGTTCTCCTACTTTGTACACTGGAATTAACAGTTGTTCCGCGGAATTAACCGAAGTAAACGCTTACCATAGGCGTAGAACATTATTTTATAGATGCTAATAACAATTTCGGGTAATCATATAAATAGTTTAATAAATTGTGAAAAGCTGTGGAAATTTTGTAGAATTATAATTTCCGATATTATAATACTTATTTAAAAAATGATCTATAGCTTATAAATACATACGATTGCACGGTTCCGCCGGTAACAATTTAAAATAATTGGTATTATTTTTATTTAAACATTTAAACAAATACTGGCGAGAAAAAATAACGAAATAATTAAAAATATTTTAAATTGTTACCGCCCAGCAAAGACCACGGGGAGGTACGAGCATTCTTTGCCATAGGAAGGAGAGTTTAGGATTGTTAATAATAATTGATAATGTTAGTACATACATATAAATATATATGTTTATAATATGTATAAACGTATCACATTTAAAGTTAATAAATATATCACAGATAGAAGTAATTAGTAAATAAATATATCACAGATATTGAAATAATTGGGATATATATAGTATCGGCAACTGAATTTTTTCCAATTCCTTTTGGACAAGTGCATGTAAAAACTACAGAGAGTTTGCATTAGAGTGAGCTGGAAACGAATAATATCAGCATTGCCAGTTTATCTGGCCCGACCGCATTATAACGTTGGCCGCTGATATTATTCGTTTCCTGCTCGCTACAATGCTAATTCACTGTAGTTTTCACACGCACTTGTGCAAACCGTATTGGAAAGCTTTCGATAGCTGATACTGTATTATAGATGGAAGTTATTAAGAAATAAATATCACAGATAGTAGTAATTAGAAATGTATCACAGATAGATATAATTATAAAATATGTATCACAGTTAGAATTGGAAAATATGTATCACAGATAGAAGTAATTGGGAAATATATCACAGATAGAAGTAATTAGTAAATATATCACAAATATAAGTAATTAATAAGTATATCGCAGAAGTAATTAGGATATATATCATAGATGATAAAGGTAATTTAGTAATAAATATCACAGATCGCAGCAAATATGTATCACAGTTAAAAGAAATTAGAAAATATGTATCATGGATTAATAAATATATAACAGATATAACTTTCATAAAAACGAAAAATAATTTAAGAACCCAACATTCAAAAAAGAAGTAAAAGTTTCTAATGAAAATTAAAAAATATTCTGAAACAACTAAAATAATCATTCTTAAAAATTCTAAAATCAAAATAATTCAAAAAAACTGAAATATTTCTAAAAAAACAAATAATTCTAAAAAATGAACTAATTCTCAAAACTGAAAATATTATAATAATAAAAATATTAATAATAATCATAATACCCTCCTTCCTATATTTCACCCCCTTACGAGTGAACCACTGAAGCTCTAGAGAAGAGCTTGTGTCATAGAGGAGGCTATTATTATTATTATTATTAACTATTATTGTTAGAAAAAGTAATTCAAACAAAAAATATTTTAAAATTAAAATATTAAATCCTATAAAAAAGCAAATGTGATGGAGAGTCAGTCAGATTCTACAAAATCCTCAGGTGCTAGATTTTCTGTGAAAGAAATTTTTTACCAAAGCCCAGATTTTTTCAATTGGGTTTAGTTCGGGGTACGGTGGCAATCTTAGTACCGAATGGCCGTGTAATTTCATTATTTCATCCAATATGTATTTTGTATATCTTGATTTGTGTTGTTTAATTATTTCATATAATTGTGCCTTCGTCATAGAAGCTTGATGGTCTATATTTTTGTCTGTCAGTCAGCTTAACATGTGGTCCTTCCTAGAAGAAAATATAGGACTTTTTGTTCTAAGGTATTATGGTAAGATGCATTATCTATGACTAAGACACTATTGGCAGGAATATTGGGAATAAGTTGTGTTTGTACCCATTTTATAAAATTTTCGGAGTTCATGTCATCGTGAAAGTCACCAGATTTACTTCCAGATTTAAAAATTAAAAGTCCATTCTCCACAAAGCCCTTCTCCCCACCTGCATGAACTATAATAAGTCTTCTGCCTTTACTATAAGGTTTTCTTAGGTTTAAACGAGGATTTACTTTATCTATCCAGGTATTAGGACGAGTGTGTGAACTATGTAGATGTTTCATCTGTATAAATTATGTTTCTACCTTCTTCACGATATATTTTCATTTGTTGTAAATATTTCACCCTTTTTATTCTGATATCATAACTCTCCATCAACACTTTTCTGTTGTCTGGGGTTTTTTCCCAAGCGAAACCTAATTATTTAACAACTGTTTTGAATGTTGAGAGACACCCTTCAAACCCTACTTGGTGGGTCAACTGCACATAAAAGTAATAAATGAAAACAAAAAAAAATAGATTCATTACGTTTTGTTACTTTTATTTATGTAATAATACCGTTGGCCTGTTAGGATACAAATAAATAAATAAATAGAATAAATAGAATTTCTGCATTCGGAAAACGTTTCCTGTCAAAGTTTCCTCGCGCGCTCGGCAGGCTGTCAACATGCTCTAAATACACAACACTGGTATGAAAATTAACATTTCCTTCCTTTATTGTAGCAGTATGGAAATTAAAAATATTTTTCTTGGAGATTTATATGGCTAAAGTCACCATCTAATTTTATTTTACCTTGATATTTCCTTAACTAGCCTTCATTCCTGCTTTCATCTTCTACACTATCGGCTAGATCAAAATTTCTGCAGTAGGACAGTGTGTTTCTGTCAACATTTCCTTGTAGGTTCTTGTATAGGTTTTATCATCTTTTCTAAAAAAGCCTACCTGATTTGCAGTCCCTTCTGTAGGACCTTGTGGAAATAAAAATACAGTCTTCTCTTTATTCGAGGCCTATATGCATTCGCTATGCATTCTAAGCGAAGATAACCACGACATGACTATGTAACTAGAGTCATTATCTAATTGGTGGAGAATTAATTGGCTCATTAGATCCAATTTTAAAAAAATAAAAAAAAAAACTTTGGAAAGTTTGGTCTATGGGTTGTCTTTCGTAATCATACTAAACACATTTAATTTAAATACAAACCATGTTTAACTTATATCATTTTATTACAAAACATTCTAACAATTATACAAAATTTTAGCATTTAACGACAATGGAGAGACATATGTAAAGAGATTTTTATTACATAGAAAATACGTATATTACTCTAACAAATTAAATTCTATACAATAATCACAATTTTCTAGCTTGTGTAAAAAAACACTCGTCCATCTATAGAAAAAAGTTAATATTACACATGTTGAATCAGAAATTGCAACATTTTATTTTTAACCTTCTTTTATTAAGAGGCTTAACAGTGAAAAACACTTAAGCCTAAATGAATAAATTAACTTAAAACAGTAATTTTTCCTTTTAAATAAGTATCTACTTAAATCTTGCATATCTATTCATAAAAAAAACCAATGGAGTTATCAGTCTCGTGTTGTCTTGTGACATTAATAACTTAAATTATATAAGAGCTTTGTTTAAATGTTCTTATCATCCAAAAAGCAGAAGTGAAAAGAAATTCTTAATGAACACAATATCTTATGCAGCCAGAAGCTTTGAAAGCAATCAAAATGTATCGGAAATGTTTTTATTTGGTGAAATGAAAATTAACGAAAAAAAAAAACATTAAAATGGTAAAGTTTATATTTAATAAATACCCATAAACGATCCCCAGATACCAACAAATTTTATAGTTTCCGCCTTCGGATATTTCCTCATTTGACAGTGGCAATAACATTTTTTGAATTCGTATTCAAATAATTACCAGTTAATGTAACTTTAATTAACTTTTTTGGTCTGAGATAAGAATTCGTGGCGGCCCTCGTAAAAACCACTAGCAAAAATATTCTACTTCGAGAAAAAAATATAAATTAGTAGAAACAAATGGAAAAAGCTTAAATGTGTCAAGCAGTAGATATATTATGCTGGCTAAAGAAGACTGATGCTGACTCAACGCTAGGAAATTGCTATTTGGTAAAGAGTATGAACAATGTCATATTTAAAACTTCAAAACGAGAGCTGTTAATTAAAATCAAGTGAAAACCAGTAGATACTGATTGATCAAAATTTAAAAATCGTTTTGAAATCCCTTTGTACCTGTATTTAATTAATGTTCTTTAGTAGCAAGCGATACGCTAATTCGAATTCCAGAGCAGATCATCTGAATTTTTTATTAATATTCATGGTTCGTTGTAGGTTTTTTATGGGTGCGTTAGCAGCATTTTAGTTTGTGTTGATGCCACATTCAGATTACAAATCGCAGTGGGTCACTGTTTCGGTTACGGTGAGTGAAGTTTTTCCGGATTTTCCCCAACTATAATTCAAATGCCACCATCATTGATCTGTCGCCTCGGAGGCATATTTGTAAACAGCAACCAGGATCGCTAATCGGTTTGGGTCCGAACGCTGCCGCAACCTCTCCCGTAAATAGCAGACGATATCGCAAATCATGTTAAAGAAAATCGAATTTTTTATAATATGTAATACTCAGGAGCCTTTCATAAATTTCATTTCATTGTACTAAAAATCCATGTACTTTTTTACCCTCCTCGAGGCTTGTATGCAAGAATGGGGCAACTAAACTTATCGCTAACTGACAGTCTATGATGGGTCGCTTGCAAAAGTCCACACACAAGTCCGACGGACTAGTGTGAAAAATCTGAAAACTTTTAAACGTATATATGCTACATAAAGTTAATCTAGCTTTTTAGTTACGCTCTGTATCTCGAAAACTGGCCATAGTATAGGATTTAATATTATTATTAAAATTATTATATACTGAGAAAATCGTTACATTTGACCAGATAAATTTTAGAATATCGTGGTTTCTGTACTTTTATTAAAATAGAATACGTTCCAACAAATACCTTACCTTGTATATTTTGAAGCTTTCATAGGATTGAGTTGGGACCTATTGAGACTTTTGGTTAGGTTGAGTACAGCAAATTTCAGTAAATTTGACTGGTCGTCAATTTACATAAGGAAAGTGTGTGGCTTTTGGAGGATTTTTAAGATTTTTAAAAAAAAATTGTACTGCTTTGTTAGTATCCTTTTAAATTTTTTGTGGTAGGTTAGATTCTTTGAAGTAATATATGAATTTGTAACGTTTTCTGATATTTCCGGTATAAGAAACTTACAGGCGTTATTAACAAAGAGATTAATGGGATAAATAGTTAAAACATGTCTGTTTTAATAAATGAAAATGAACCTTTTACGTTTTAATCGAAAATGTAAATTCTAGATTAAAATGTCACCTGTGGAATCGGATGCGGAACTACGAAAAGTTCTGTTTAATTAAATTTTTTGTGCTCCTTTAAAATATTAAAATGGTTTTAAAAAATTATGATATACAGTGTGTTTTTCTGTACCTGGATTAATCTTCCGCGCGAAAACTTTAAATGAAATTATATCTGATGTTTTAAAGGATATCTACTTGAAATTTTGGAATGTCATTAAGAAAGTAAGGGGTAAATTAATATTATAAGATACCACCGCAACCTGATATTTGCTGTCCCCAACCACTGCCGGTCCAAAAATTTAAATGACACTCTGTATTTTTGACAGATTCTGAAAGAGCGTAGTTTTTTTAGTATATGTATTTAAATTCTTAACATTTGGTATCTGTACCTTTAGCTGTAAATATCTTACAAAGTTCATTATGTAATTAAGTAATTTTTTACATAAAGGTTCTAAAAAACTACGCTCCTTCAGAATATGTCAAGAAATTAGAGGGTTTCATTAAAATTTTTGGGTTCGGGGGTACCTGGGAGCGGCGATTATCACGTTAGGATGGTATCTCATATACTTTTATTTTTTCCCCTATTTCCTTAATGACATTACAAAATTTCAAGTCGATATCTTTTAAAATACCAGATATAATTCCATTTAAAGTTTTCCATAAAAATATACTGAGTTGTTCGTTAGTTATGACCTTTGAATGAAATGACCCAAATCGACAAAACTCCCTGTATCTGTGTCATTAAAGGCCATTAAAGTTCCATTACCATAGGTTTTTAGAACCATCTAAACCACAGCTAACGCTTATCTGTTTACCAATGAAACACCCTGTATGAAACTAAAATTTTTAGAAAACAGCTGGATAGCTGGAGCCTGTTGGAAGAAATAATGATATAAAATGAGTTTATAAGACAAAACGATGGTATAATAACCAATATACCACATACCTACTAAGAATTAGACCCAAGGTCCAGTCACTGTCAAATGTATTATACAGCCCTGGTGGTACGTATAGTTGTGCTTTTGATGATGGATCGTACCTTTCAAATATTTTTTTGTGTATGTTATAAATACCTACAAGTTTAAATATTTTAGAAGTACATTGAAGAAAAATGTTTGTAACAATTATGTAGGCATTGAAATGTTTTAAATGTTTTATCAACCTAAAGGTGCATTAAAATTATAGCAAACCAGAGTAAACGAATGACCAAACGAATTTGTTCTAATTCGTACTTATTTGGTGTAAATTAACGCATGCATTCGTCTACCAACGTCGCACTGATATTGACCATATCTCCAGGATCGGCACCCGAGAAACTATCCTATAAACATTGAGCGCGCGTCGTTCGCTGAGAAGTACTGGGTCCCCTATTTTAGCAGATTTGAAATTTAAGTTAGGAGCGTACTGGATAATGCTCTTAAACAAACGAATTCGTTTGTTCGCTTTTGTTTGCTCTAATTTAAATGCACCTTTATTAAGAATTTATATTTTCCGAATAATTTGTTGTTTCTAAGGATTGTGAAGGACAAATTCATAGGGTGGGCCATCGATAACGCCTCGGTCTGTAGAGCCAAAACTATTCGATTTTTTTAAAAACTGTTTGTACAGCGAGATGTATATCAGGAAAACCAACAATTTAAAAATATTTTTAATTATACAGAGTTCTCCAAGAAAGTGATACATATTACAGTTACGGTTTTTTTTAATAGGACACCCTATATTTTATATTAAATTTGAATTGCTATCGCTTTTCTCATTAACACAGTAGCAAATATTATGAGATTATACAGTGTCTTTTACATGTTACAACCAGTTTTTAATGACCTCTATACTGCAGAAGAAACAATTAAAAACTCGTAGTAAAAGTTTTGTCGATTGTACTTAACATTTTATGCCAATGCACTACTTTTTTCAATTCGAAGCAAATCTACAGGGCGATTCAAAACTCAAATATATCATTTTCGCATTTTTTTGTTAATTGATCACCATTTAAAAGTACCTTCATTAAAGTTCCATTTGTGTTAAATAATTTTGAAAAATTTTTAAATTTAAATCACAAAAAAGATTATTTTAACTGGCCACTGGTTAACAGGAAATAGATTGTTTGTTATTTAGTAATTAGAATTTAATCAGCTGTAATTTATTATAGACTGAATACATTTTTGACATTTTCAAATTGCACTCTCATTCAGTTAAAAATAAATACCAATAGCAACCATTCATAGACTCACTCCATTATAATACCTACTTTATTCTAAGTTTATTATATTTTAGGTTAACTTCGTTATTACTAATGTCGTTATTGTTGCCATATACGTTTTTAAAAAAGTCTAGGCAGTTTTTTAATATGACGTTTAGTCTTAAATAGAAGATATATTTCAAATGTTACTCGAGAAATGCTTAGAAATGTAAGTTGGACCTTTAAAAACCATCTTTAGACCTCCATAAATATTATTGGAGGCTACTTAGAGATTTTTTTTTTAATTTAACAAAATCTGTTATAACACGTAATAAACTTAGAATAAAGTAGGTATTTTTATTTATTCTTTTACTTAATGTAAAAGGCACATTAAGTATTGTCAGAAACTTATTCAGTCCATAATAAAATTATAACTGTTAAAATTCTAATTACCAATTAACACACAGTTTATTTCCTATTAACAAGTGACTCGTTAAAATAATTGTGAATTATCTTTTTCTCATTTAAATTTAAAAATCTCTCCCAATTAGTAACTTTAGGTATAAGGAATGCTTAACTCAAATGAATCTTTAGTTAATGTCCTTTTAAATAGCGATATAAAATACAGGGTGGCCAATTAAAAAATGTGACAATGATGTATTTGAGTTTTGACGCACCCTGTACATATTTATTTCGAACTGGAAAAAATAGTGCATCGGCATAAAATGTTGACTTATATCGAAAACCTTTTACCGCAATAAAAATCAATTGTTTCTTCTGGAGTATACTGGTCATTGAAATCAATACGATTTTCATAAAACTGGCTAAAGTGTGTAAAATACCCTGTATATTCTTATAATTTGTTATTGTTGTAATGAGAAGAGAGAGAGAGAGAGTAATTCAAACACAAAATAAAATACAGGATGTTCCATTAAAAAAAAAAACTAACTTTGAGATGTATCACTTTCTCGAAGACCCTGTATAATTGAAATTATTTTTAAATTGTTGCCTTTTCTGATATACATCTTTCTGTGGAAACAGATCTTAAAAAATCAAATATTTTTTTCTCTACAGACCGAGGGGTTACCGATTGCCCACCCTGCATAGTTGATACATAAAATCACATTGCCCTAAATTCAGTTATTACAATAGATTATGAAGGTAGATAAACATTTTAATGTTTTTTGTTTTCTCATAAATTATTATTTCACTTCGCCTTAATATTTTTGTGGTTTCTAAACATTAACAGGTTTATGGGCAGTATCATTCTCCTCTTGATTTCGATTTTCAGTTTTCTCAGACCCGCTTTGCCAGCCTGAATCCATGGTGCCATCGCTATGACAAGCGTGACCCTGCACTTCATCATCGACGTTAGCTTCTTCATAAAGTAGGCCAGCTGGATTTCCGCCCAAGTTCTGTATTAATGCCGAGATATTAGAACCTAAGTTTCGTCTTGTGGATTGGTTTAAATTCAAAGTTTTTGGTGGCACATTTTTACTACCAGAATTGTTATAACCAAAGTTTGCTTTGTTTTGGTTGTAATAATTTTGGTCGTAATTTAAACCGGAAATAGTATTTGCTAGGTTACTAGAACTTTGTCGGTAATTTTCTTGATTTGTAATAACTTCATATTGAGCATCAGGGGCTAAATAATGATCTACTGAACTTGAGAATCCCCTGTGCTTAGGCGTCTGCTCGCAAGGTTTTTCTGGAAAGTAATTGCAACATTCATCTGGAGATATTGTATCATCCGTAGTTTCTGTCAAAGGCGTCTGTACGCTACTACAAAGACTATTTTGGGATATATCTTTTGGTAAAAGTTGAAGGCAAGAATCGGCGTTGAATTCCATTTCACTGGAATCAGGTAAGGGAAACGGCATTCTGCTCCTGGTAGACATTTGTCTATTTCCCATTCTGTGCGCTAAATAATCTTCATCCTCGGTCACAGTAGAAGATGATATATTTTCCTGAAACGTTTGTAACAACTGACTGGTATTCACATCTTTTGGATCAGCTTTTTGTAGAGAAATTAGTCTAGGTTTTTGAGATTCTAGGGCTTCGTCGTACAATGACGAATCTTGTCCATCATTCCGGACTGAAATATTACAACAACTACTCACGTCAGCAAAATAAACTTCAGATTCACTTGGTTCAGGTTTTTGCGGACTATTTTCTTGATTTTGAAATGCTGCGTTTTCTACACCTTGAAGGCGAGGTAAAAAACGGCATTTCTGGTTTTCGATGGTTTTGGAATCAGGTACAGTAGGCTCGTGGTAGGCGTGTTCAGTTTCTTGTTTGTTTTCTTCTTGATTAGGTTGACTAAAAACACTCTGAATATTTGTTCTTGTATTTGACTGCATGTTTGATTTTACAGAAGCCATCTCTACTCTTTTCTTCATTTTTCTAGCTGGAAGGGTATGTGATATTCTGTCCACGCAACTTGAAGTATCTGTGCTTTCGTTATTTTCATTAGAATGGTGAATTTCTGGTTCTGTTGTATTTTCGTAATTATCTTTGGTGTTGAAATGAGGTCTAGTGCGTCTAGAAACTCGAAATTGATTGTTCTCGTTCATTTGACAATGGGATTCATGGCCATGTGAATGATGATGAATGTGATGATACCTAAAATGTTATTAGTTTTAGATTAGAATATTATAATAATATACTCGGACAAACTTATATATTTATTAGCTAATTCACAAAGCATCTTTAAATTAACATGCATGTAATTCTTTAAACATAAAAAAATATAATGACTGCAGTAGAAGAGTTACATTTATTAGTCAGATTACTCTGCATATTGTTAAATTGTGATTAAAAGAAAAATTCCAAAATGTATGGTTTTAGGGGTACCTGATTCCTTGTTTTGGATCATCAGTGAAAATAATTTCCAGTTTAGAAGACTTGTAAAATTGATTTATTAAGACCTAAAACCATCTAAATGGCACAAAGAAAAATCTGTCTTTTTGAGCATTATTTAAAAATGTACAGGCTGCTCCATTTAAAGAATGCAATGTAAGAACCCAGTTAATAAAAAAAGAAAGAACAATTTGGCAAGAAAAGTTACAGGTGAATCTTTGTCTTTTCTTACACTTATAGTTTGCTATTTAAGGTTTCTCCATTGGTTTATTTTTGCAGTGAACACCCAGTTGCATTTCATAAAAACAGATTATTTTAAAATAAATAACAGAAATATAAATTCAATTTTAATAATTTTATTGTTTTCATACGTGTTAATCTCTATTTTTTGGTATGCCACTGCGCTCTAGCTAATCGCGTCTCTTTGGCTCACTTTACTGAGTGAGCCCAAGGGAGTGAGATGCTTTTCCGAAAGACTTTAGCTAAAAAGAGATATCAACACGTTAACAGATCCGTGAAATGAACAATGACCTGCTTCAAATCATAAAAATAACCTTATTTTGTGCAACTCATACAGTGACGTCACAAAGTATGACGGAGCATACGAATCTTTTAAATCATAGATATAGAATAAAGAGATGCAATGACGGTACTAAAAGTGTCTGCACTTTTGCATTACCCTTTTACGGCATATGTCAAACTCGAGCTAGTCAGATTTCGTGGCAATAAATGCTATTTTTTTAAAAATAGCGTGATTTAAAAACATTTTCATTCCGTCAATCTTCAAATATAAAATTATTAACTTAAAATTAATCAAAATATGACTAAAAGTGCCTTCTCTTGTCATATCGCAAAACAGTGTTTATGTCGTCTCTACCTACTTCATTTTCTATCTTTAACGTTTCCAACTGTCCAATCAAGCTGTCAAATTCTAAAAATCAACATTTTAATTGTGTATTGTATTTATTAAAAATTAGATTTAAATAAAACTGTGACTTTAATAAAATTGGAAGTATGTGTGTCAATTCAACGATTGTTACCGAAAAACGTCTCAAGTAAAAAAATTACTATTATTTTTGAAGTTATGTTTGTTTATTTCCAAATTACGATTGTAATTTATATATACTTTTTTGTTCCAGGGTCTACAAAATAGTCATGTGTGTGTTTTTTTTTTTTTAATTTGGTGTCGTCGGCGTCGACTACTACGGCCATTAGCCTCGTGTTCTGTGTAGGCTTTGTTACTGTTTCTCAGCGCCACTTTAGGAACAGCACTGTTAATTAGAACCCAACAGTGAATGGTCGAGTGGGAAGTCATGTGTGTTATACCCAACTATGCATTGAGCAATTTTTTTTTGCTACAAGCTGCTACGAATGTATACATGGAAATTAAAAGCTAAAACAACTGTGTGTAATTAAAGAAACTCATTAATTAATATAGCTACAATTTTAATATCTTAAAATTAACATATAAAGTTTAAAAAACAAATCCAAGCAGGGCCGTTATAACCACTAGGCGCTAGCCTAGGGCATCATATTTAGGGGGGCTTCACAAAATGCCAAAACATAAAAATATTAAATTAGGCCAACAGAGCTTCAATCCGGCAAAAGAGCAAGAAAAGCTGAATCAGAGCGGCGCGACGTAATGGTGTAAATAATTGCCGCGTTTGAGAATCCACATCGGATGCATCTGAGATGTAAAAAACTTTGATCACGTGATTCAGTATACGTAAATGATATGGGACAGATTTTTCCGATGTGGATAAAAAAACGCTCGAGATGTAAAAAATGCATTCGATGTGGATTCTCAAACGCAACAAATGTAACTGAACCACTGAACATAGCCGTTGTTTTTGACCATGATAATTATTGAATCAGTATATGTATTATAATAGTTATTCAGTTATCATGCTGCGTTTGAATATCCACATACGATGCGTTTTACATCTCGCGCGTTTGTTTATCCACATCGGAAATATCTACTATATCTGCATCTGCATTTGTTTATCCGAGATGTAGCTGTCCAGATTACATTTTTTACATCTTGATTTGAAATAATAGGTGAATGAGATGTTCTTTCCATGCCAGAAAGTAGGTATTCTGTAAAGCCAGTTCAATTGGTTCAGTTACAAGTATATCGATTTATCCTTTGTTTATGCTAGTTTGTTTAATTTTTGTTTATATTTCAAATTTAGGTTAGTTTCTAGTCTCAAAAGTCAAAAGTCAAAAGTCAAACGCAGAAAGTAGAAACTTCTAACTTGTCTTTTTTACTACATCTAGAGCGTTTGTTTATTACATCGACATTTAAATCTAATCCTCTATTATGTGATAAAAAATTCACAACATCTCAGATGTATCCGATGTAAACATTCAAACGCAGCATTTAATTCAACAAATTGGAGTCTGATGATTTTACACGGGAGTAGACTTAATTTTCTTAGATCGTTTGCCCAGGTTACTCTGGAACAGAGCTGGGCAGTATTTATATTTGTAAATACTTTTTAGTATTTAAATACTTAAATGTATTTAAATACTAGGTATTTAAATACTTTTGGATGAGCGGTATTTGTATTTGCAGCTGCAAATACTTTCGTGAGTATTTAGTATTTAAATACTTTTTTAAAATATTGTAAATGCTCTTTAAGAATTTAAATAATTTTCTGGTATTTAAATACTTTTCTGATATTTAAATACATTTCAAGTATTTAAATACTTTTTCGGTATTTAATTACATTTCAAGTATTTAAATACTTTTCCAATATTAAAATAACTTTTTACATCAAAAATAAAAACATGTTTTAACCAGTTTCAACTTGTTATTAAACCAAACGTGCGAAATAGTCTGGATGAAGTGCTGAAGTATCAGTTCGTATTTAAGCGTTAGATAAGATTCTTGATTATGCTAGTTGTCAAGTTGTGACTGTTGTGATTTCTGTTACAAGAAAAAAGAAATAAACCAAGATAAGTATTTATTATTATGATTTGTGATTTTATACAGTAATTAAAAAATGTTAGAGGTACAGATGGTAAGTTAAAAGTAAGTCTATACAACAGTGGCGGCTCGTAGGCACTAGCGGCAGAGGGGCACACACTGGAAAGGAATCCCGGAATTCGTTTTTCCCTTAAGAAAACAAGTTCTCCGCTTAATGAAAATTAAATATATTTCAAAACAATCAGTTGGGGCAATAACGATTTCTGAATGTGACTACAGGGAGCTAAATGTGACCACTCAAAATGCATTTAACTATGTATGTGGCTATTTAATCAAAAAATCATTACAAATCCACTCTTGCGAAATTTGCGTAAATTTCTCAGAAGAATGCAATTTACTTAACAATTCTAACCTTATTAACGTATTTTAAAGCATACTCTGAAGAAAAGGTGTTTGGCAATTTAAAATCTCCCAGCGAAAAATTTCTCTTTTATATTTTCAAATTACAAAAAATATTTATATCTCTATTTGGTAGTTTGTCAACTAAGCCTAGAATTTCCAACGCATACCTTTTTGAGATGAGCAACATAGAATTTGGTCATCCTTGCCAACAATTTGCGAAAATGTACACCATTAAATTATTTATAAGACTCAGAATTTTTTATTTCTTAACTATTCCAATGGTCCAACTAACATTCGTATCTGGTCTAGGTAATCTATGCCATGGGTACAGCACGTCACGATAGGGACAGCGCCCAGCTTGTGACGTATAATCCATCGCATGTGTTCATCTCTTGCTAAGAGATATTGTCGTTGTCCTTGTTTTTCGCATCATAATGATAGAGAAAACAACAGAGGCACACATTTAATGTGCCCATCTTACTTAATTTCGGAATTCTCGGAACGTCACTCAACGCCCGGTCGTCCAGTGGCGTGCCAACGCGGTTTGCGCTGAATATTAGATAAAATAATAATAGGCATTGAGGAAAATATAAAATATGTAAGTTATTTTGTTTTTTTGGTTTATTATACTAGGACACGTGCCCAAGTGCCCTTACGGGCAAACCGCCACTGTATACAAGAAAGGATATTATAATTCCAAATAAGTCACGGTTTAAATCCCTATACGGATACACTGAACAAAAATTTACTCAAGAATTTAGTTGTAAAAAATGACAAATTGCCCTTCTGTAGAATGACTTAAAGAGGAAAAATGGCAAATACAAGAAACAATATTAAAAGCAGTACTTTTATCCATTAGCAAACAATTTTTATGCACTGGCTGTAGCAATTTATTTAAAAATATATCTAAATTCAAACGTCATTTTTCGAAAATTACAATACAAGATGAAAGACTTTAAGCTGATCGAATAAAATAGCGGAAGCTGTTATTACTGGTTTTGATTGGTAATTTTTTCTTAGATTTGGTTGTTTTTAGTTAGTTTTTGGTTGGATTACTTCCACATTTTCTCACACATTTGGTTAAATCATAAGTTTGAGGTTTAAGACATTTAAAAAGCAAAATATTCACTCTGTTTTACCTTAAAAACTGCTGCGTAACACGCATTTTTTCTTGCAGTGTACTTATAAGAATACGTTCTTCAGCATGTTTTTATTTTAACTGGCTTTCCTGTATATATGTATGTATGTATGTATGTATGTATGTATGTATGTATGTATGTATGTATGTATGTATGTATGTATGTATGTATGTATGTATATATGTATATATGTATGTATGTATGTATGTATGTATGTATGTATGTATGTATGTATGTATGTATGTATGTATGTATGTATGTATGTATGTATGTATGTATGTATGTATGTATGTATGTATGTATGTATGTATGTATGTATGTATGTATGTATGTATGTATGTATGTATGTATGTATGTATGTATGTATGTATGTATGTATGTATGTATGTATGTATGTATGTATGTATGTATGTATGTATGTATGTATGTATGTATGTATGTAAGTATGTATGTATGTATGTAAGTATGTATGTATGTATGTATGTATGTATGTATGTATGTATGTATGTATGTATGTATGTATGTATGTATGTATGTATGTATGTATGTATGTATGTATGTATGTATGTATGTATGTATGTATGTATGTATGTATGTATGTATGTATGTATGTATGTATGTATGTATGTATGTATGTATGTATGTATGTATGTATGTATGTATGTATGTATGTATGTATGTATGTATGTATGTATGTATGTATGTATGTATGTATGTATGTATGTATGTATGTATGTATGTATGTATGTATGTATGTATGTATGTATGTATGTATGTATGTATGTATGTATGTATGTATGTATGTATGTATGTATGTATGTATGTATGTATGTATGTATGTATGTATGTATGTATGTATGTATGTATGTATGTATGTATGTATGTATGTATGTATGTATGTATGTATGTATGTATGTATGTATGTATGTATGTATGTATGTATGTATGTATGTATGTATGTATGTATGTATGTATGTATGTATGTATGTATGTATGTATGTATGTATGTATGTATGTCTGTATGTTCGGTATAAATTTTGCAATTGATTTTAAACAAACTTCCAATTAGCTAGAAACTTTATTTTATTATTTATATTTTAAACATAGCTCAGAACTGGATGGTAATTGATAATGCAGTTTTAAGGTATCTAAATTAATAAAGTATTTTAACCAGAACTTCACCTAAGAACTAAATTTGTTATATACTGAACCTGTTCATGTTATTGGAATCAGCTAAAATTTGGTAAACATATTTAAACTCAATCACAATGCAAAATTATGGTGTCCAAAAGTTAAGACGTTTGTGACATATATTCATATATTTGTTTCTTAGTTTTCATTCGTGCAGAGTTTTTGGATACCCTGTATATATTTTTTAACATACCAAATTTTTTAAACCTACCAAAAGGATAGAGTATTTTTTTTGTTGGTGTTAGGTCTTTAAGAAAATATAATTGTTTTATTATTATGATAGTATTTAAATACTTTTGTGTAAGCATTTATCCCAAACAAGTATTTAAATACTGTAGGTATTTGTTATTTCAATACCTTTTGCTTTAAAAAAAGTATTTAAGATAAACGTATTTATGAAGAAATATTTAGTATTTAGTATTTAAATCCTTTTAAAAAGTATTTTGCCCAGCTCTGCTCTGAAGTAATTCTCATTGGCCCAAAATTTCTGAACGGCAACGAAAATAAACGGTAATGAATTTGAAAATTAAAGTTTTTTACAGTTATTTGTTTACAGACATTTTTTGTTGTTCGATGTTCCTCGCTTTCCGTTGTTACTCGTGTCTCGTGTAGTTTTATTATATTTACTCATTTAGTTTTTTAGCTGTTTTTTTTTTTATTTTAATATGTACCTATTCACAGCCCTATTGAACGCTTGACTGTTTTTGAACGAACCCAGACCAAATTGATCACACTGTTTTTGGTCGGAGCGTGTTTTCTGAATGCGCTCCAGACGTAAAGGTAAGTTGGAGTAGAGTTTGTATTCTGTAAATTAATTCTGTAGATTAATACCTAACATTCCTAACAACCTAACTATGTAGTACATAACATAGCATACATAAAATAGGTACATATTTGCTTTTCTTGCAGAATGTCAGAATAGAATGCAGAATCTAATATAAAATTATCACAAGATGCGGTAAATAGTTAATAGTAGAAGGGAGGGGGTTGACACAAAACAGATGTCTGTACTGTAAAAATGTGTTCAATTAGGAATAAAAATCGACTTGTTTTAGCATTTTCTAAAAATCCAATGATTAATGCCGAAAAACAGGATGAAACTATTTTGAGAAATCCACTCTGTATATCAAAAATGGCTAGATTTATCAAATTAATTTATAGAACAAAATCTGCTTAAAAATGCATTTTTTACAAGATGCGTTATATAAGAAAGATTCTCCCATCGAAAAAAATATATTGAGCGCAGCGCCATCTACATATTGACCTATTTAAAATTAATTTATACCTAAAACTGAAGCTCTCTTAGCGCTCTATGAACTGGCTTCTACAGAATTAAAATATCTCTATTACTTACCAAAATATCCGGCCTGGGAGTTTTTATTGGTACACCCTGTATAAGAATGATGAGTGCATTTGAAAATATTGCAAGCACAAGAACGCGTACACAACCAAGTGGACATAAAGTATTATCTATAGAAGAAAAAAACCATCGAATTTAAGGTATATTTATTATAATCTTCGAAAAGACAATGTTTAACTTTCTGTGGATGAAATATCCACTAAATGTGAGACTTATTCTGGAGTATCTAAGCGTATAACGTTATTATAGAAGATACAGTTGTTGGAGAAGTCTCATATACAAAAAAGCTCCAGGAAGAAACAATATCTTTATTGAAACTTAAGTAAAAATGTAATAAGGCAAATAGTACATTCCTTTTTCTTCCGAAATGAAGACAAGGAAACCGTTTAGTAATAACTCACATTGGAAGCACCAATGGATTTTTGCCAGATAGATGTTCGAGTCAAAGAAAACAAAAGACTACCATGGAGAAATGAATGGCCCTATGTTTGAAAATTGGTTTCAAAATATTATAAAAAAAAATCCAGCAAATTTCGTTATTGTTTTGGATAATGTATCCTATCACAATCGATTAAAGAAGTGACTACCTACAACAAAATGGTAAAAGAAGATATTTCAAAATGGCTTCATTCTAAAAATATTATCAGTCCTCCTTGAAGGCAGGATTACTGATAAAAGCAAGGCAACATAAAACAAATTCATAAAATATATTATAGACCAGCTGGCTCGAGAAAAACGAATTGAAATTCTCAGATTGACTCCTTACCACACAGGGTTAAATCCTAATTAACTGATTCTTATGTGCGAACTCAACACGTATCGAATAGAGATAGACATTACATAAGAATCGCATTCTGTGGAACGAAGATAGGCGTCTCAACACATGCCGTATTGAAAGATAAAAATCCCAATGTAGGTCACAATTAAAAGGTTATGTTTCTCGAAACAATACAACATTTAAATTACCTGATGTGCGAAACTTGTTTTTGAAGACAGTTTCAGATGTAAATGGAGAACATTGGAGAAAATGCATTGATCGTCTTTAAAAGGTGGAAAATTCATTTTGGAAAATGGATGTGGCAATGAGAAACTTAATAGACCCCCCTGTAATAATAAACCGCAGAAAATACAATGATAATGATACCAGTAGTTATGGTGAAGACAGTAACTTTTAAACATATATTAGAGGAGACAAGAGTAAAACACAGATGTGTTGGTTGTGTTGCCTGACCTATAATTATTTTCAACATAAGAAAGTACTATTTTATGTAAATAAACAAATAACCCATTTTCTATTTTTACCGCTTATCTTCGGGTACCTATGCTTGGATTTTTTTAATTTCTTGATGGCATATTTTTAACCATTAAATTATACAACTTTTTGACCAACCTCGTAACTCTTAAGGTAAATAAAATAAAAATTATTGATTTTATATTCCACCACTTTTTAAAAAATACGCCTTATTGGCTCATACACATTAGCCATGAGGGTGTTGTGGATCAAAAAATCTTAGAATATCCTCAAAAAAAAAACTGCAAAAGTTAATGCTTTCTTCACAAAATGCAGAATATTGACCTCTTTGCTGCTTAACCGCCGTTACTCTCGAGAAGAAGGTTGATTAGAGGTAAAATATTAAATCACAGTTTAAATTGTAATTAACACAGCCCTTCATAAAGAGGTAATGAAAAATAGTAACACAAATTTAATGACCATTATAAGGTAGGAGAAGAACTTAATCACTTAAAGTGTAAGGTAGAATAATAAACTTATTTAAACCAATGAGAAACCTCCAAAGCTAAACAACTAATTGGATATTTTAAATAACTCACCTTCCTGGGGAATTCATAGGCCTCCTGGCTGGAGAATTTGGATTTGAGTACGGAGGAGGTGGACCCCATACATAAACTCCACCAACCGGGGCTCGATTGTCTAAAATACTATAAGATCCTGTAGAACCTGTCAATTGGTCTTGCATAGTGTTTTCAGTTCCTGATCTATTACTAAAACCGTATTGACTGTCTGCACTGCTAACAGCTCCTTGGTATGTCATAGAGTTATCTCTAGAACATAAAAGAATTTAATGTTATTGCTAATATTATTTATAAAATATTAAGATTTAATTTATATAGGAGTTATCCTCGGATAATAAACTGCCTATATACCATTGTCGTGTATCATCGAATATGTAAAAGAAGCAGTGACGGCTTTGTAACTAAGCCCACTAGGTATGGGCCCAGGGGCACTAGCCTTTAGGGGCAAAAAATATATGTTGGAAATGTGGACCGATATTTTAGAAAGGTTTGAAAAAGTTAGCAAAACGCTTTAAACTGTCGAAACGTTCATTGAGAGAGTTAATAGGCTGTACGACTAAAAAATTTCATCCAGATAAAATCAAGGAAGATGAGGTTCTTCTTATAGGAAAAGTTTTAAGCAGAAACTGTTTGTATTGTAACGATTGTTTAATTTAAAAATAGTATATTTATAATTTATTTATAACGTACTAATGAATGTATTTAATACTTAGTCACTATTATAACTTAAATTTCTAATGCATCTTTACTATACAACACTTTAAAAACTAACTAACTATCTACAGAGTGTCTAATTATATTAGAAATGTTATCTTCCAAACAACTCCAGGCGTGTGAAGAACGATCTCGTACTGCTGTCGTCGTTGCGTCGGTGACCTTTAGACGGTTGGGGACAAAGCGAAAACCCTCGCTTCTTCTGTGAGTACGTGCACAAAGAGCGTTCTGGAATTCTCTCGAATGTATCGATGTAGACTGGGCATCGCCCTATAGATCAGAACCGATCTCCCACTACAGTATCATTAATCGGTGACCTGCTGAAAGCTGAGATATCAAAAAGAAATAAGGCTTACTGTTAAGCAGCAGATACTTTTCAGTTTTCTCCAACCTGTCAAGCACATCTCCTTTAGTTTTTTCTTAACGTGCAGTATTGTATGAAAATGATTTAAAGACATCATTTGCCAATGAATATGTTAATTTTTCACTTTTGATGAAAAGTGAGACATACGCCTCTAAATTTGTAACATACGATTCGAAGGCTTCGGTTAATTAATTCAATCAGTCAACAAATAGCATATTGGGGTGGTCCACAATTGTCATAGCGACAATTGGGATATTCCGCGGATAACTTTAGTCGGAGGTGGTGTAGTCCGATAATTAAAAGTTCTTAAAAGGGCTCCAAATCACTAAATTGGCTGTAAGCAGGACAAGGTCAAATAAATATCACTAGGCAAAATAGGCTCAAATAAACTAAACAGCTTAGTTGAATCTTTCTTTAACTAAATTCAAAAATGAATATGAATATATATTATATTATAATCAAACCTGACAATTATTTCCCAAAATAGATATAGTTTCCATAAGGACTGCAACACAAAATACGCCTAACTGTATACCGGGTTGACTAACTACAATAATAAACCCTTACAAATTTGATTAAATTTTCAAGATGTTACCCATGAACTGCTGTTATAGTAATCTGATTTGAAATGGTGAGTGATTTGAGTATCATGATCTCACTGATGCACTTGAAAACGTTTCTAGATTAAAAACATTGGAATAACATGGTATTTTTTAAATGTGTCTTGTTTTAATAAATTAATAAAAAAAAATCAATTTATAAATTATTTTAACTAAGTTATTTTTATATTAATAGCATCATTGTTTACTAGGCCAGGGGCGACATACAAATTGTGCCTAGGGGGCAGCACATTTCAAAAGTCGCCGCTAAGCTTTGAAACAAACCATTTGTAAGGAGCTTCAAAAATAAGAAGCTAGAAAAATAAAAAAAGGACTAAAATTATAATATTACAAGTATTTCTTAACGTTATATTTCTGCCATCCGATACTGGTCCATACACTGTTTTATTCAAGAATTAAATTTAAAAAAAGAATCTTACCTCGGTGCTTCAACTTGGCCAACATTACTTCTGCTCCAGGGCAATCTTCTCCAATTCCACCCACTCGAATTTCTAACCCTAACATGATTATCTGGCGGTATATTCGTAGAACCGTCTTCAGGATTAGGCGAATAGAAATTGCCTATACGTCCTGGTGCCCAAAACCTATAACATTTAATTCATAAATATATTTTCGAGAAAATTACCAAATTTATTTTTCAATTTTTTAACTCATTTGAAAGTATGATGAAAATGTTTTTTTTATTACTATTATTGAAGATTTGAGCAGAAGATTAAAATCATATAATAATCGAATCAAAATACAAATCGAATAAAAACATCAGTGGAAATAACAAAATAAAACAAGAAAAATCAATTATGTAACAAAATTAGAGGACGTCAAATCTATTTTTAGATTAGATGCCATAACAACGTGTTCTGGTAGTGAGTTCTAGTTATGAAAAACTCTATTCGGAAGAAAATTCAATCTCACATCAGTAAGTAGTCCTGCAATTTTCTATTCTCAATTTCCGAAGATGTCGTCTTTGACGATCGTCGGGATTAAGGGTAAACAAGTGTTGTAGTACAGAATCATCAGAAAGAGAGTTGAAAGTTGTAAGGTATCATTTTCCACTTCGGTCGGCTTCTTAGCCTTATGGAATACCAAACATTTCAAACTTTTATTCGTAATAAGGGCCGCACTCTGCGGAAAGCTATTCGTGTAACACAACGTTCAACGTTTTCTAACATATTAATACCAGTATATCTTTGCAATTGAACAGTAAACTAAATTACAAACTCTAATATTGGATGCACATATTAAAGTTTTACAAATATTTTGATATTGACCAACTGAAACAACTTACCGTTAAGATACGCCATTCGGTTCGATTTATTTACATTGCTGAATAGTGTGATCCGTCCATAACAACTAAGAGTTTATTATTTTATTAAAACATTAAGATCGAAATGAGAATTGGTTTTTCTTAGTACCGATTCATTTACCGTATATGTAAATTGCGGATTACTTTTACTTGTATGCAATACCAAACACTTTTCTTCATTTAGAAGTGGTAACAACTTTTATGTCCAATCATATATTTGGTTTTTAAATTCACACAGCACAGCAAGTTTAGAATAACAAAACGTTCGTTTTTCCAAGTTAGGCTCTTTAAAAAAATGCTGAGCTAGAGAATATTAGTTCCTCCTTTAGCGAGCGCATCATCTTTTTCTTTACCCTCTGTCCCTCTATGTCCGAGAACCCAGATCAAAGTAATTTTGTTCTGGGTACCGAGGCACTCGAGGGAATTTATACAGTACTAAATCAGCTCTGAATCAATTTAGTTGGAGCTCAGAATGTTCTATAGCTATCGGAAAAAAACAGGTATTCTAAGCAGCCTTCTGCCACTCATTTTGAGGTTTAGATCCCAGATTTTCTGCATATTCTTTTTCAGCTTACAAGAGCTATTGTAGCAGTGAACACGACAACCTCTGATGGTCAAATGACTTAGAGTTTTTTGTGCGTTAATGGACAATTGTACCAAAAAACACCAGGTGTTTACTATGTTAAAGCTGTTTGAGAGAGCTCCGAGACTATGCCTGACAATCTCCTCCTGTTTTGAATGTGCTAGGTTTTGAGAGGTCATCTACTAGAACTGACCACAAAAGTCCCACCTAACTTAACCATGGCCTTCGCATGAGACCCAATAGTTCCATCTAGGTCGCAGTGAAAGGCGATGTGATCAGTGATCATCCCACTTATTTTCCACCTTAACTTAGATTGCTAAACGCTAATCCAATTCGATACCACCTAACGGTTATCCATCCAAGATGAGCATACTCGAGGTCACCTAACTAACCCGTAAGAACAAGACACTCGCCACGCCTAGAATTCTATAGTGCTAATAAATAATGGATCGATATTCTTACCTATCGGTGGATAAATGATTATCCCATGGATAGACTTGTGGACCAGCAGGCACAGATGGATACCGGCATTCTTCGCAACAACTGCAATATGTAGATGGCGGTATTGGAGGTCCTCTAACTGAACCATGGTTACTGGATGGGCCGGAATGTTGCTGGTAGAAAGATCTACATCGCATTTCTAATTGTTCCCAATACATTTTTTTCTTTTCATGACTAAAATAAAGAAAGTACAATAAAAGTTATGTTATGAAACTTGTGAATAATGTATCTGACTATAATAAATAGTAAAACAATAAGAAAATAGAAGTACAAAAGGCAGTGAACTAATAGCTTACGCTGACGACCTGGCCATAATTGTTCATGCAAAAACGAAAACAGCAATAGCAAACCTAACAGTCTGCGCAATAAATAAAGTAACGAGTAAACTCTTAGAATTGGACCTAAAACTGGTTTTAGAAGACTGAGGGGACTGGAAATTAACTTAATCTTAAATACAGAAACTACTGGAACATGCTAGCGCAAGTAAATAGGAAGCTAGCAACAATAAGGATATCGACCTGCAGGACTATCCTAACAACGGCTATCATAGATGTAGCAAAACTGTCATCTGTAGAAGAAAGAATATCTATACTATAGAGAGGAAAGCAACATAGCCATAAGGCTAGAGAGAACACTTTTACAAAATGGCGAGATGAGCTCTGGCATCAGTATAACAAAGAAGCCAAAACATACATCAAAGATAGAAATTCAGAATAAACTATCACCTAACCAAAATATAATAGGACTTGGCAATTTTTGCTCATACCTGAAAAGAATAGAATTAATATAAAATGGCTAGTGCTGGTCCTGTAATGATCAGATCACACTATTTTTGAATGTACAAGATGGCAAATATATTACGAGTAGAGGTGAATATAAAATGTGGAGTAGAAATTACAAAAGAAAAGAGCAGAGCTACTAATAAAAGACGAAAAAACTGGTCAGCAAAAAATAAAAGGCGTCTTGAAGAGAAACAAGCGTACGAGAGAAATATGTAAGTGACATCTTTTTTGATACTGAAGTAATGCCATAGGATGGTTCCAGAAATAAAAAAGAGAGGAACACGAGATGCCAATGGAGAGAGTTTTTAGTGGTATTAGGCATCTTGAGTAGCACACTGCCCTGCTTAAGACCATTCAGGGCATGCATAGAAGCATTTTCATCTCCAAGTGCAAAAGTATCAATGTATACTAAACAATTTGCTATTAACCTGTTTTTCGAAAGTGTAAATCATAAATAGTTTTCAAATTTTTTATTTTAATTACTTAACATTTTCTAAAAGTTTTGTTCAAGATTACTTTTAAAATGGCTAAGGGATAAAGCAGTAATTGTAAATCAGAGTCTTAAAAGGCTTTTTCAAAAAGGCCCCGCTTTTTTCGACCTAAACTATATTTTGGGCCAAAGAAATGCGAAATTAGAAAGAAGAGTAGAACTCACAGCATTAGTAAAATGAATGCAAAAGTTGGATCAAAGACGGGTGAATAATTTAACTTGACTGGAATTACAAAAAGAAATTAAAGTTATGAAATCGAATTTTGAAAACTTTGTTAAAAGTGTCATAATTTTCTGTTAATTTGGGAAAACAAAATAAGATAAATGTAAAATTAATTAAATGGTCAGTAACACTTTATTATCTTACCTTAGTAATTGGTACACCAGCATGCATGAAAAAATACATACTAATATTCCGCTTACAGAAAGTCCAAACATTGCCCTGAGGCAAGAATAAAGAGCACCATGGATTACTTCACAATCAGGAGTTGAATCAAAAACGTATCTCATACCTAAAATAAAAAAGTTGTTTAATTTTAAAGTGAAAGAGTGAAAAAATTAGAATTATATACTGTAATGTGAGCCATTTTATTATTCAATCATGCTCTAATCCTCCCTCTCTGTCTTATTTTGGCCTTTGAGGCTCAACTTGTCCGATGTGACATATGTGACGACTATGGCGGAGGAGCTTTTGATAACTATTCGAGAAAGAACGGGATAATGTTTCTAGTCTATTGGTGAGAATAGGTGAACTTTTTAGCACCTTCGCCAAACTTTTAAATTTATATATAAATATTCTTCTTTGATTTTGTTGCTTAGTTGTGGCATACACTCGCCATTTATTGTTTTCCCCCTTTCTAACTAGTCGTCCAAGATGATTTAATTAGAATCCCAAAACTCAGTTCCTTTACACCTTTACTGCTAACAAAATAATCGCGTTTGCCCTCTTTGGTAGCAGAGTACCTTTGTGTATCCATTGTTTGGACTCTTTTTTGGTTTCGAGAGTATAATAGTGCATACAGGTTTCATCAACGGTTATAAAATGAAAACGTGTCAAAAGCTGTTTCTCCGCTGTGAGCAATGGTGGAACCCTACGCGCCGATTACCCGCTATGTATGATATATCACGCACTTTTACTCGACAGTCATCTACTACGATACGGTTAACTTTTTTAATTATATCTGGGGCAGCAGCATTTTTTTTAGACGTCCACTACCCAGATAGTACAGGACGTCCATTACATGTCCATTTATTGTCGGTACGTCCAGGACCAATTATGGACGTTTTAAGTATGTCCAGTTTAGTAAATCCTCGGGACGTCAAAAAATAGATATCTGCAGAACGTCAATTCTACGTGCTTTACTATATTTCAATGGATTCACATTTGCATTGTATTATTATTTGGTTATATTACCTATATAAAAAAACATATATAATGAGATAATATAAATAATTATTAAAGATGGCAATGTCCCAATATCCAATTGAATGAGCCAAAGAGACAAAAATGAAGGACAAGGAAAATTTTATTTTTATTTATTTTAGATTTAGATTCAAGCACTAAAATATTCTCAGGGCTCATGTTTTATTAAAAAAAAAAGGAAAACACATGGTGTTCAATGTTCATGATTAGATGATATATACATATTATACGAGTACAAGTTCTATCATTCCGCCATTTGACTGTGATTCGACTCTGTGAGTTTGTGGTTGATCAATATTAATTTTTTGCAGTTTGTACCATTTTTATGTCTGAGAAAGGTGTAAGTTTTCTAGTGAATACTACAAAGCTAAAAGGTTAGTGAATTTATAATGTCTAGCAAGACAAACTTGAACAAACAGATTGGATTTTAATATTAATATGCCTTTGGGGGTGGGTTGGCTCAGTGGTTAGAGTCATGACTTTGAGATCAGAAGGTCTCAGGTTCGAATCCCACCGTTGGCCGGGATTTTTTCATTTAATTTAATTATTTAAAATTAATTCTGATGCCTTGGTAGGATTCCCCACTCGACCATTCACTGTTGGGTTCTAATTAACAGTGCTGTTCCTAAAGTGACGCTGGGAAACAGTAACAAAGCCTACACAGAACACGAGGCTAATGGCCGTAGTAGTCGACGCCGATGACACCAAATTAAAAAAAAAAAAAAATATGCCTTTTATTTTGAATAAGCGATTAAATTATTTTCAGATTCAGCTGAGAAGGCAAATATGGCCACATCAAGAAAAAAAAACTGACTGCTATCAATCCAGGCATGGTTGAAAAGAGCAAAGTAGAGGAGTTTTCCAGTGAATACTACAAAGCTAAAAGGTTAGTGAATTTATAAGGTCTAGCAAGGCAAACTTAAACAAACAGATTTGATTTTCATAATGATCTGCCTTTCATTTTAAATAAGCGATTAAATTATTTTCAGGTTCAACTGAGAAGGCAAATATGGCCAAAAAAGATTGATAACTAGGAATATTAGGGATGAGATTTCAGAAATGAATCCGCTCCATCCCAACCAATGGGCATACAAGCCACGAAAGACAACTGACCCAGCGTTGGACAATCTAATTAGGCTGCTTTCAAATCACTGTCAGCCTAGAGAATAGGACAATTTTATCCACTTTCAGAAAGGTGACCGTACATGTGTAAAAGTTACATGGGACTGCCCACAAGAAAAAATACTGTCTCCAATGCTGTGGTGAGTTCTAGTGAAAGACCTACTCAGAACATTGTCCAAAGAAAGCTACTACAGCCTAGGATATGAGGATAACCAAGCAGTTATCGTCTGAGGCCGATTTGCATGAATGACAAGAAAAAATAAATTTGTTTGCAAGTTCGATAGATAATCATTTATCTTTGTCAGTAATGGCAATTTACAAAACACAAATTCCGAATGAACCACTGAACTTACACTATGTTAAAGCTTTCTCAGCTCCGTTCCTATTTTTCAGTTTACTCATTGCATAATAAATATATTATATCGTAATGAAACTTTGTATCGTAAAAAAATCTGTATCATAATGAAAAGCAGTCTGATAAAGTATAGTGACAATTACACACTAAATTCATTAATTCGAAAACAGTCGACTTTTTGAGCTAAATATCGAAACAATTTGGTACAGGGGCCATGTGATACTTCCTCTAAAAGAAGACCTATATCGTAAATTTCCATCAAAATTGTTTTATTTGGTTACCTATTTTGCGGACTAAACATGTTTTTTTCTTCACAACGGATATCAAATTTGATTTAAAATCAATTCAGCAGAACACGCATAAAAATTTAAATAAATATAGGGTATTCCATTTAAAAAAACTGTCGAAGTCGTCATCACTCTGATGATGTTTTTTTTTTATTAAATTATTTAACGACAGTTTATTTTATGTTATGTATGGGGTATTAATAAACTACAACCTAAAAGATCTATTGTGTCCCCTTCTCTGTTGCTAATGCAGCAAGAAAATAGTCTCGATGCCTATAAGGATCCTTCCAATCTTATATTTTTAAGGAAGTTTAGAATTTGGAGTGACTTCAAGTTAGGTAGATCGTCCTTTTCTATTTAGTATGCTCCTAAGTAAAGTGTCTTTGGAATCTGGAGAATTTGAATAGATGTTTCGTCCTCCTCCTCGCAGATACCGTCTTTTAATCAGTTTACTGAGGTGTCCTTTGGTTCATGAATGCCCGGTAAGGACCACTATTTCAATGCTTGGCCTGTTCTTACTAAAGCAGATACAGGCTTCCGATCTTTTTTGATTATACTTACCCAAAAGTATCTTAGCATGTCTTAGCACCAAGAGTGTTCCAATTATTGGTTTTTCTTTTGTCCAATTCTTTTTTAATCTCTCCTAATAGTATGTTAGTGCTGATACGCAAACACTCTTTGTGATGTCTGAGCCTCCTTTCCTTGCTAAACTATCTGCATCTCGTTGCCCTTTACCCCGTTTTGTCCCGGGACCCAAGTAAGAGTAACTGTATTTTCCTCGCCTAAGCTCATTTAATTTTTCTAGGCATCATCTGACAATTTTTGAACTAATTACGTAAGAGCTCAGCGCTTTGATGGCTGCTGGGCTATCGGACGTGATGATAATCTCTTGTCTGCGATAGTTTCTCTCAACGTTGAACTGAATACACTTCTCAATGGCGTGAATTTCATCTTATTTCTAACTAAGAGGTTTAAACATCGATGCTTGTTAACACACTACTCCTTTAACGAACCCAACTCTAAGGATTCCGACAGATGCATACGCCACGCTATACCTCGTAGCTATGGTATGCAACTACGTGAGCAGTTTGTTTGGGATTTATAGGTACGTCGACTTTCCTTAAGATAGTCACGCATCCAAGTACTAACTGCACGCGGCCTTGCTTAATTGCAGATATCGATACACAATAGTGAACCTACTAATGATTATGTAAAATACAGTAAAAATTTAAAATAAAAATCGATGACTTGTCTCGGGAATTTCCAATGACAAACAACTACTAGGCCAATTTTGTTTACAAAAACTAATTACAAGCATTCACGGTGTTATCCACGTAGTTGTCAAATTATTTCGGAATAGTCTACATACAAGGATTGTTTATGGTTATAATTCAAAATTTACTCAACATAAGGCTCTAAAAATTACATTAAGGAAGTATATTTGCATTCTCAATGCCAGTTATTATCTGTTTGCAACTAGTATTGTAGTTGAAGGTGATTTACAGGAAAGTAGACCATTTATTTTGAAGTATGGCAAAGGTGTAAAGCACACAAATCGTCTCGCTGTTTCTAGTGGGGCAGCCGAGGCGACAGCTCTGTCTCCCTTGGAAATTTCCAACAAAAATGTTTGTTTAGCTAAAAATGATTTTATGCCGGACTTTCCGGACTTCACGAAAGGACTGTATATTGTGCTTGATGATTTTTGAAAAAAAAAGATTTTTTATTTAATCATAAATAAAATGACTTACCATCATCTGCAGTTGCATGAGCTTCTAGTATTACTGAGTAGCAGGTACAGGTTCTTGTTTTTGCGGTATATACACATTCTCTGAGAGTTTGCAATCTGTTCATATGGATTACGGTGGTAGTAATGGTGACCAACACACATGTTAAGGCACACACTAAACAGCAAAGGCCACAAACTTTGATCTAAAAATTAAAATATAACTAATTTTTTTCTACGAAACTACCTACCTAAATGAAAATATTTTTAAACCAGAAAAGTTTCCAAAAAATTGTTTTAACTCTGATGCTCTATTATATTTTATTGGAGCTTGAGAATGTGATCTTCTTACATGATATGAATTTCAAATTACTCACAGCCGAAGCATCTGTCAAAGTTGAGAAATAATCATTACTCACTATGCATAAAAACGTTAAATTAATGAGAACTTTACATCACATTGTTACATTGTAACTCTCATTTTTACTCTTGTTTTCATCTATAGGACGACTCATAACCGTCTAAGCCCAGAGTAGGAACGTGATGAAACAATGTAGACGTTGATATTATAGCGCTACCTTGTTACGTTATTCAACGTTACTTGAATTATGTCTTTTTAACAAACTAGATGTGACATTCCTGTTATATCCAAGAAAGTCTTTTTACTTCTTGTAGATGTTATTATAAATCCCATAAAATAAAATCATATTAATGAACCTTTTAAATTTTATATGGACTATGTTATATAAATATTTTATAATATATTTCATCTATATAAAACAGAATAGAAATAAAAAAACTTGAAGTTAATTAAAAAAGCTTACATGGTAAGTTAAACTTTTCTAATCCCAGGAAATTTTACAGAAAAAGTATGATAATACAATGATCTAAATTAATAACTAATAGTAAGTACTTTGATGAAATACTTGATAACGGCATAAACTATGATACCGAGCAACAGACTGCTTCATAATACAGTACTACCGGTTACGTAAGTAGCAAGCTATCATTGGTATCTCCATCTATGAACGCGGGACGAACTGTTAGGTCTGCCAGGTCTGCGATGTAAAGACTAAAGATAGCCATCTTAAATATGTATAACTTGTACACATTACTGTGCTGACCTGTATGTGATATTATTGTAAGTTACATAAATTAACACCGTATAAATGTTTGTCACGAGAAATAACTAAAAAGAAGTACAAAAGATGTTTATGTAACTGCTAATTCAAGTATTCCAGCGTACATAAAACTTCATTTGTTAGGAATGTTAATAAATATGATGTTAAAATTTAAACATCTATGGGATATTTTAGTGCCGTTTTAAAAATATATCAAGAAAAGTATCTATGAGAAACGTTACAACAAAGAATGTCTTTAACGAACATTCTTATAACTGGTTGCTTAACTTAAAATATTGGAGAATGGAGGTCACTTAAGAGCAAACCGAATGCCTTGAAAATTTATAATTTACATTATTCGACAAATTTTCATTACTCATGCGCGAAAAAGGCAAGGGAATTTTGAATCTAGTAATTTTCCAAACACTTTCTGCTATCTCTTTCTTATCCTTGCCTTATAACTGTTGGGTTGGCTACGATGATTACCCCATGTCATTGTTACTTTAAACATCGATTCTATTTAACAGGGAACCAGTTAACCTTTTTTAGTACACATTTGCAAAAGGCTAAATTATAAATGTATCGTTAATTAATAGCCTGTAGAAAATGAAAATATTTTGTTGCAATCGATCTAGGCATAAATTGCCCTGTCAGCAAGCAAGAAGGTACGCCGAGTTTCAAAAAACGTTTTTTGACTAACTTTTGATGTGAATTACATTCCACGCCTTGTTCTCAATGATTATAGGTAATACCATCCTTTCCCCGCTCTGCGGCCACATATTTTAAAGTCTAAATACTTTCAAAGGTACTTATAAAGTTTCGAAATAACAACTGGTCATGCCAGTTCTTCCCACATATGCTCTCCTTCCTCGTACCCAGATACACTCTTCCATCATTCTTTCTTTTCGTGCGCAAGTGACTACACTTAAATAATTTGTTTTTTATGTCATTATTAACAAAAAATACATAAATGGGTTAAAGAACATTTTTACAAGGATTACAAACTTAAAAACAAAAGTATAAAAAAAAGTTGTTTGTTTTAGATATGAATTCATACTCCGTCGATCAGCATTAAAAAATACACAGTATACACTGTGTTACAGGCTAGTTACTGGTTTATAAGTAAATCATGTATATGATTTAATGCCTGGAGACCTATACAGGTCTTTCCTGTATTTATAATGCAGTATGTACTGTAAAACAGGCTATAGTATAACAGAGTCATTTGAATGACAATGCATGTGGATCTTCCTGTGGATCCATGGAGTTCCGTTCCTATTTATTATGCCCGACTCTGAAGCATGGGTTTTTTTATAGCATCCAGAGCAACCATAATGTCTAATTATAGGATGTTATGTACATGGTGGCTGGCTTAAAATGAATGAAATTATTCTGAAATATTCATAAAGGTAAACACCTTTTAAGAAATACAAATTTCCTTCTGTTTTAGATATAAATATATCTTTTACTGTCAAGTATTAAAAAGTATACAGTATGCACTGTAAAATAGGTTAGTTACTGATATAATATATGTTAATAGATAATATGCATAATTTAATGCCTGGGGATCCAGGTAGACCCTTTCTGTATATTATTCACTTTGAAACAGGCTAGCAGCTACTGATTTATGTTTTATATAACTTTAAATATATTCGGAAGATAAATAAACTATCTAATTATTTAGTTTTATTAAAGAAGAACTGTCATGATGTCATATCAATCAGTGCAGTGATGCCACAATATGTGTTTATGTACGATATTCCATAAAATGTACCACATTTTTTGAGGTCTATTTGTAATAACAAAGATTTTCTGTCGCCTTATAGAGAACAAAAAGGACGACAACAATTTTAAACGTCAAATAGATTTAACTTCTTCCTAGTGACCTCGTTAAATTAGGGATAGTGAAATATAACTTACTGTAAAAAGAGTTTTAAAATTTATGAGTTTAGTTGTCGATGGCTTAACTGTAAATCGATGGCATTTGGCCATATAACTTTTAACCTATAATCTTTTGAAATACTTTATCATTAATTCAAAAACCACCTGTTGAGTCTTATTGTATTTTATTTTTGTCTTTTTTTGTTGTTATATTAATTTAGTTAAACCCTGTATGTACCTATTTTAAAAAAAGAGTAATGACATTAGTTTTGACATGTTGAGTGAATATATTTTTTTGAAGCTCTAGAAAAAGTCTGAGTTTTATTATTAATATTATTACGATACGACGAAACATTGGTCCTCCGATCCGCTGAACAAGTCCCTGGAAAAATACGTCCAAGAATATCGTGCCGACAGAAAAAATGGACAGTGCCTACAGCCTACCTATGACTAGGTCTAAAAGTAAGCGTTTTGGAAATGAACTACATGCTAATACAAATGAGGCCAAGTTTACAGAGCCCTCCGAACTTGAAGGGAAAAAAGATGTCAGTGTCAGACAAGAGCCAAATAATTTTTTTTCGGAAAGCAATTTGGGAAATAAAATTAACAGTAATCACGAAGAAGAAGTCAATTCAATTCGTAGTGTTAAAAGTAAAAGTTCCCATAGCAGCATCGATGTAGAACGAAAAACACGTGCACTGGCCATCGAAAAAGCTAGACAAGAAATAGAACTTTTAGAAAAACAAAATAAATTAAAATTGTTAGAAATAGAAAATGATATTTTTGAAACTAAAATATCTGACAGATCTAGTAGAATTTCTTCAATTTCTAAACAAAATTCAGTAAAATCCTTTCTCTTATGTGATGATGAAAATGCCGATAGGACTAGCAAGTGGGTGGAAAACATTTCCGTGCCACAACCACTTACAGATACTCCCAAAGAACGTGATTCAGAACTGCTGAAGCTTCTTTGCCAATCTGTTAGTGAAGCCATAAAAACTGTAGCTGATACATCAAAGCAAGAAAAATTTGTTGCCAGACAAATTGTCGAAAAAGATTTTCCCGCATTTGATGGTAATCCAGAAGACTGGCCAGTTTTTATTTATCAATTTCGCCATATATCATCGCTCTGTCAATACTCAAATGAAGAACGAATGATAAAATTAAATAAATGTCTTAGAGGAGCAGCTAGATCCGCAGTTTCAGGAATGATGATGTCTCCAAATAATGTAGATTTTGTTTTGAAAAACTTAGAACGATGTTTTGGAAGACCAGATTTAATTATCGATAGGATGTTACCTAAAATACAGGCCATACCGACTATCAAAGAAAATCATATGGAATGTCTAATTCAGTTCTCAAACCATGTACGATTTCGATTTCGACGTTAATATGAATAATCCTCAAATTTTAAGAGAAATCGTTCAAAACCTACCAGACATGTTAAAGTTGCGGTGGGAAGAAGAAGTAGTAAAATAGCTTGGAAACGTTAACTTAGAAGTCTTTTCAAATTGGACAGATACTTTAGCTGCTACCGCCTGCTACGTTACAGTTCCAAAAATTACAAAACCAGATACAAAATACAAGACAAATGTTAATTATTTTTTATAAAAAATATGAAACATCCTTAGTTACCACTGAAAATGACTCGACAAACCATAAAGTATATTCTTATTGTGAGTTAAATGGACATGCCGTAAAAAACTGCCCAAAAATGTCCAAAGATGATATAGAAACGAGATGGGAAAATGTAACAAAGAAAAAATTATGCTTCTCTTGTTTAAAGCATAACCACCAAACCAATAAATGTAAGGCTAGATATCAATGTGGTGTTAATAACTGTAAAAGGTTCCATAATAAACTTCTTCATAAAGAATCAGTACCGTCTCATGCTGACAACAATGATCCAGAACCAGACCACCACTCATCTAATAAATATGTAACTTCTTTACCGGTAAATGTCTAAGCTGTTGGGCATGGAAAAAAATGTTTTGTTGAGGATTCTTAAAGTAAAATTATACAGCCCTAACACTGTTATCGAGACCATCGTAGAACAACTAGGACTACGCAGAAACCCCCATTCTTTATGTGTGCAATGGACGAATAATTTATCTACTTGTCATGCATACTCAAGCTGTTTTGACTTAGACATATCTGGAGTTGCTAAAGGAGCTAAGAAATTTGCTTTAAAGAACGTTCATAGCATAGAGAATGTATCATTGCCATTTCAAGTAATTAAAAAAGAAGATTGGACTAAGTATTTTCATTTGAAAGATCTTCCTTTGCCAGAGATTCATCAGAGACCCTTGATTCTGTTAGGACAAGATCAGATACGACTTACGGTAGCACGAACGGTAATACAAGGCCTAGACGATGAACCTGTTGCGACCAAGACAACGTTAGGCTGGACTATGCATGGAGTTTCTCCTAAAAATAAAGAAAAATTATTCCTTTCTTCTCTGTGGCCATAACACTTCAAATGATGCCCTCCATCAATTGGTTAAAACTTCCTTTACTATTGACGCCCTTGGAGTGACACCTATCCAATCAAAAGCTTCCAAAGTGGAAGAAAGAGCACTCGACCTAAGGACAAAAACAGCTAAAAGAGTAAGGATAGATACGAAATAGGACTCTTATGGAAATCAGATAACTTGACTTTACCTAAAAGCAAAATTGTAGCAATGAAAAGATTATCCTATGTAGAGAAGCAACTACATAAGAATGCAGATCTCCAGAGACACTATTCAGAGAAAATTAAAAGCTATCTAGACAAGGGTTACGCTCGCAAGCTCTCAGCAGAAGAAGCTAAAACTGTAGGCCCTAGAACCTGGTATCTCCCACATTTTGCTCTCATAAATCCAAAGAAGCCAAATAAACTTCGAGTAGTATTTGATGCAGCCTCGAAGTCATATGGTATGAGCCTCAACGATAACCTGCTAGCCGGCCCTGACTATCTTCAACCATTGATAGGTATCTTAATGAAGTTTAGAGAAAGAAAAATTGCTTTTTGTGCTGACATCAGGGAAACGTTTCATCAGGTGCGTATACGAGAGGCCGACCAAAGTCCCCAACGCTTTTTGTGGATGGAGATGAAAATAGAGAATACGATACCTACGAGATGTTAGTTATGACTTTTGGAGCTACCTGTTCGCATATATGTGCTCAGTTCATAAAAAATCTTAACGCCCTACAAGAGACTACTAGACAAGACATTCTTGACGCTATAATCAAAAAACATTATGTCGACGACTATTTGGACTGTCAGATGAAGAGGCCATTGAAATAATTGAGGAAGTAAGACGTATTTAAAAACTAGGTGGGTTTGATCTAGTCAATTGGATATCAAACTCCAAACAAATTATGGATACCTTGTCAACTGACGACGTCACCTGCAAAGATTTCAACGAATTTGCAATCCAACGAGTATTAGGAATCTCATGGGATGCGAAATCAGATACCTTGTGTTTTAAATTGCATTTGGAAGGACTAACAGAGAACAATAGTCAGCACCATAGATCGACCAAACGATAAGTTTTAAAGTTTGTAATGTCGTTTTTTGACTTCCTTGGACTGATTTCAAACCTGACAATCAAAGCCAGGATTTAAATCCAGGATATCTGGAGAAGCAAAATTGGATGGGATGATGCTCTTGATGAAGAACTTTACCAATATTGGACATTATGGCTCAGGGATTTGTACAAGGTTGGAAATGTAAGAGTTCCCAGATGTTATGGTAAAAATATATCTGATGCTGACAGAGTGGAACTTCACATTTTCTGTGACGTCAGTAAAAAGGCATTTGCTAGTACAGCATATCTTAGAATTATTAGCCTGGACACTATTGAAGTCTCACTAGTAATGTCAAATGCACGAGTTGGGTCAATTAAGCCAAACTCTATTCCAAGAATGGAGCTCTAAACAAGTCTACTAGGAAGTAGGTTAATGAAGACAATACTCAATACACTTGACATTAAAATCGATAAAGTTTATTTATCGTCTGATTGATCCACAGTACTCCACTGGATTAAGGGAGATGGAAGTAAATTGGGACAATTCGAGGCTCATAGAATTGGGGAGATCCAAGAGCCTACCGAAGCGTGTGACTGGCATTGGATACCTTCCAAACTCAACTCCGCTGATCAGGCTACCAGAACATATGCAAGAGAAAATAGTGATCTCAACATACTCAACTTTGACGGTTGGTACAGAGGCCCTGAATTCGTATATTTTAGACATGAAAATGATTGGCCAATTGACAAAAAGTTTGAGTATGCAAAACCACCAGAAAGTCCTATGGAAATCCTAACAGTCATAATAGACAATGACTCTGATACAAGTATGCCAAAAATCGATAGATTTTCGAAATGGCTAAGGTTACTACGGTCAACAGCGTGGGTGATACGATTTGCCAAAAACCTTTTGCTTCGAATTAGAAACAAAACAGTCACTCTTCCTGAAACTCTAACCCTAGAAGACATAACAGAAGCACAACTTCGACTGATAAAACAATGTCAACGTGAAGTATTCCCTCAAGACGTAAATATCTTGCAAAAAAATCAAGATATAAGACTACACAGGCGACTGAGAACACTTTAGAAATGTATTCTAATAATGGTACTAACTTTATTGGAGCTTCAGCAGAACTGAAAAGGGCCTTATACGACTTGAATAATAATAATATTAGGGACGAGTTACTGGAAAAAGGCACAAAATGGAAATTTTTACCACCAACAGCGGCACATATGGCTGGGGTCTGGGAAAGGCTAGTGCGATCTGTAAAAACAACTTTTAGAGTCATTTTAAATAAGCAAGTTCTAAAGGATGAAGTTTTGATTACACTATTCACAGAATGTGAAAATATGATTAACAGCAGACCTATCACTAAGGTGGCAACAGACCCAAATGACCTAGAATCTCTCACTCCAAACTATTTCCTCACAGGCACAATGAGCAACTTAACCAGTTTTAGTAATTTAACAGACGAAAACCTACGAAGTGCTTGGAGGAAGGAACAAGCATACAAAAATCAATTCTGGAAATGATGGACACATGAATACTTGTCAAGTCTAACGAATACGGACCAAATGGACTCAAGATGGAAGACCGCTTAATAAAGATGATATTGTAATATTAGTTGACGAAAATTTACCACGACAGAACTGGAAACTGGGAAGGATTGAAAAAGTTTTTAGAGGTCCAGATGGTAAAGTCCGCGTTGATGAGCTCTACACACCCTCAGAAACATACAAAAGACCTGTATCAAAATTATGCCGAATAGATGTTGAATCTTCAACGTGAGCGAAACAGATAATTTCGTCACGGGGGGGAGAATGTTGAGTCTTATTGTATTTTATTTTTGTCTTTTCTTGTTACATTAATTTGGTTAAACCCTGTATGTACCTGTTTTAAAAAAAGAGTAATGACATTAGTTTTAAAATGTTGACTGAATATATTTTTTTGAAGCTCTAGAAAAAGTCTGAGTTTTATTATTAATATTATTACGAGACGACGAAACACCACCTTTGTTGTTTATGCAAAGATTCGGGGGAAATAAATGGCAATTTTCCCAATACATAAAAACCACACCGTCCTGCCATATATTAGCCATTCGGTGAAATGAAGCCCACATAATTAAGTAGATACCGCAGTATTTAATTCGTATTTTACCCGTCATGGCTCTACATATACTTTTAATAAATTGGAAGTTAGCATTGACACAATTAAACATATACCAGATGGACAAAAAAACCAATAGGGACCTAACATTTATTTAACAATTTCTATAAAAAAACTTTTTGAGTTAAAGTTACATTGTACTTAAATTCGTGAGAAATAAGTCTGTTATTGCAATAAAATAATGCTAGTAGAGTACTTAGCATATACCCAAACAGTTCGAATAATGATTCAATCGTTGGGTTAGAATAAAAATGTTCTCGGTAATTGTGTTTAATATTTTCTTTAAACATCTACCTATGATCATTGAGAACAAGGCGTGGAATATAATTGAAAGATCAAACGAACCTATCTGAAGTGATATTCGATCTCAATTATATGAAACACCTTGTTCGAGATGATCGAACCAACCCACACACCTATACCCAAGATCATCTCTACAAGATTCAAACACAATTACTGCTTTAAAAGATTGACATAAGAGTGTATCTGGGTACGACGGAACGGGAGCAAAGGTGGGAAGGACTGGTGCGACCAGTTGTTATTTTGGAACTTTTTTAATACCTTTGAGAGTATTTAGACTTTAAAATACGCGGCAGAAAAAGGAGGGTACTGCCTATGATCATCTCGACCATGGCGTTTCATATAATTGAGACCGAACTTCACTTCAGGTAAGTTCGTTTGACCTTTCAATAATATCTGAAAGTTTCAAGTTTGCGCTTGTTTGACAGCATTTTCTATACAGGCTTTTTTAAAACATCATCGTCAAGGGCTCCATCCATGCGTAGCAAACTATTTTCATGTTATACAAGGTAAGAATGAACGATATATTTGTAATAAAATTTTGCCTTTCACGAATAACACACCTAAAAGTGTCATTGGCTCCCTTACCATTACTATCAAACTAAAAAACAAAATGATATTTGCTGATACATAATTGGAACTCAGGGTAGGAAAAATAACAAGAATAAATTTATACATGTATACATTATACTTGTGCCTTATTTTACAAAATTGCACTAAGCAACTAAAAAATTATTTAGGGTTAATATCTAAAAAAATGGTATTTGAAAAGGTTGTTTCTTTTAACGAGTTCTTGATTATATGCTTTCAAAAAAGATAGCTCAACTTATTTTTTTATATTCCTGGTCAGTTTAAAAACTTTGTATACTTTTTTTGTAGTTATTGTCAACTGATTTTGAGAAATGGCTTTTTGTTAAAACACTCCTTTTCCGCGGTCTCAGTAGTAAGATGTCTGGGCATTTGCATCTCAGAAGGAGCAACATGACATGTTTTTGGAAACTACAGAGTATGATACCTATATATGATTTTGTTATACTCACCAAATAACTGTATCTATTTTTCCTTCTGGCCAGACTTATTACACAAATCCCCGTTAAAATTAACTAAAACAGAAAAGTTATACTAATTAATTCATGCTTCAAAATTAAATTGTGTGCAATGCATGGTCTACGCAACTTAGATGAATCCATGTATTTTCCAGTAATAGAAAACTTACCATAGTGGCAGGCACGAATGTTGGAATAGTTTCAAAGTAACCAAGAGTTGAAGTATACGATCGAAGCAGGAAGTAAACGGCCAAAAATAAAGCTCCAAGTATTGTAGATAAACCACCACACGCACAACACCAAAAGACATATTTCCTAATTCCACTTCCACCGGGATTAGCTGTAAAAAATTAAAAAAATTGAAGGAGACACTTTAATTTTAAATTTTCGCCTTCCAATTAACCAATTTTGTATTTTGTCTAGAAAGATATGGCAGTTACAAGAAAACTCAACCAAATAATACTAATGTCATTTTATTTATTTAACAACGAATCTAAAATTAAAATTTATTAAAATATTAAAAACAGTATATAAAATTTACTTTCAACTTTAATATTTTTTCATCTTTTCAGGTATCTACTTCTACCTGGGGGTCGATTCTAGACTTTTTTCCTATAGGAATTTGGTTGATTTTCCTATAGGAAAGTAGGTTACGTATTCTGGAGTCAAGTTGTAGGAATATTTTCCTAAGCAGTTATAGGAAATGATTTCCCATGCTCATGAGACAGGGAATTTAATGTTCCTGTCTTGCGCAATAGTAGCTTGTACAAAAGTCTGTGGCAACAAAAACTACGTTTAGATGCCAATTCTCAAAAAAAAAAATAGTAGCTTGTTTAATGTGGTTTATTGATTTATGCTTACTTTTTAGGCGATTCCAAACTCATTTAAAAAAGAAACATATACTACATATATATTATTAAAAGTTAATTTTAGTTTGACGAGTAAAATTATCCTATTTGAAATGTCTTTAAGTCAATAAATAAAGTAAACCAAAATCCATAATTTTTTATGAAAATTTACCAACGAAACTAGTTACTTTTGAGTTTTTTTTTGCAAAATTCGCACATCAGGATTCCTCGACGGAGCCCAAACCAAGTTATAATGATGTATGATGTGAATTTTACTATAATTTGCTAAATATTGGAAGTATTTCTATATTTTTGTATTTCAAATCAGAAATTAGAGGATACAAGCATTAACCTTTTGGTGTAGGAAAAACATTTGTACTAGTTACTTTCTTTAGTTTCTACTTATAAATATAAATAACGGCAGGGCCGCCGAGAGCCAAGCCGGGCCACAGGACAATTCTCTAGATCGGGCCCCGTGACAAAAAAACAGCTCTTCAAACAAAAACTTTTCCTCCTCTACTTGGATTCGATTTTCTAAAAAAAAAAAAAGCTTCCGAACCTAAAACTTCCCCCTCTCATCTTGTGTCGAATTTCTTTTCTCATACAAAACAAAAATTCCAGTTGCCGGGCCCCCCTTATACCGCTGCCCTTATACCCCCCCATTTGAGTCCGGGCCCCGGGAATTAGTCCCGGCTACCTCCCTCTAGTCGGCCCTGAATAACGGTAATCACAGTGGTAGTCCTTCTGAAACTTTTTCGTTTTCTCTTTTTGCTGCTTATAAAAAATATTAAAAATAAATAACCAGCACATCCAGAAAATCAAATATTTTTGACAAATTGTCAAATTGCCTTGTTGCCAACTGTTAAACAACTATATTTAACTGAAATAAATACATTCCATTGGCTCGTTTTTGCGTTATCTTGAAATTATCAACGACATATTGAAATTGGAACTCCTACAGGAAATTGGATTCCTATTGTACTCGATAATACCGACAACTAAAACTGTAGGAATATTATCATAGGAATTCATTTTCCTCGGAATCAAATTCCTTCAACTCGAAAATCGACCCCCTGAAGGGTTTCGGCAGATTCCATCCGTCCAACCTGCTTTTTCCCTCTTGTTGAATTTGCATGGCGGCACTGAAGCTTATTGCTTATTGTTCCACCATTTGGATGCCCTACTCCTTCCTATTCATTCAGCTCATGCATTTTCCATCTATTTTACGGTCTAAGTGGGCACCGAGCTGTACGTATTCGGTCACCCAATCAAGCCGTAACCAGGTCATCACTGCTGGAGACTTGTAATCGGTGTTTTGAATACCTTTCATAGCACCCAGCGACCCGGTCCAATGGCATAGTACTGGTTCGAATACACAGTGGTAGAGTAAGTAAGTAACTCGCTTTTTTTCATAATAAATCAAGATGGTTCTTCAAAATTTAACATAAACTCATTTTTAAATCAATTTTTTAAAAATTCGCCGCATTCAAATTGTCATGGTGATCATCACTCTTTTGACACTCGCACACTCTCACTCACGGTGAACAATATTCTGTCTTGAGTTCAACCTTTTACGCAATTTTATTGTATAAAGTTCTTATAGAGGTTGATGAGGTTTTTTGAACTTTGTTGGCTTTTGAGATTTTAAGATCTTTTTAAAAATCTTATCTAGTGAAATTTTTTAACGTAATTTTGTCGAAAACTTTATTATTAAAATTGGTTAAAAAATAGTGGTTATTAACATTTAAATGGTGTCTGAAACTAGAATGATTGGATCTTTGGATGTGTTCATTTATTTGAAATATCAAAGATCTACAAGTTCGACCTATATATTTATGTTGCATCACAGTTACCGTGAGATAGTTTACATTATATTATACGTACAAATCGACTAACACTCGGACATGTCGATTTTTATTTTTGGATGCGGTTTTTTTAATAGTAAACTCATGTATACATGGTGGTCCAAAAATAAGTAACGACCATCAACATCATTTTTTTAAATGGAAACCCCTATTGAGTTTAGGTATAGAACATAGTACATGAATCATTTTTGGAATTTAATGCAAAATTCAAAAATGAAATAAAAAATAGGTATTTTTATTCGAAGGTGATGGTCGTTACTTATTTTTGGGATAGCCTGTATACATAAGTTTACTATTGAAAAAACCGCATCCAAAAATAAAAAACGACGTGTCCGAGCGTTTTTTCAAAAAAAAAAACCCCTAAATTTTAAATGAATGTTTTCCAACACACGCGTGCTCGCTCAAATCCCGGGGGGCGAGGAAATGCGTGGTTGCCAAGTTATAAATTATTTAATTTTCTTTTTATTTTAGCTGAAATCATGTATGGAGAAATTGTTGCTATGGGAACGTTTGTCGTGGTAACGACTAAACAGAAACCCTAATCCCGTGGTGAGGAAATGCGTAATTGACAAAGTAACAGATGATTTAATTTTCACTTTAGTTAAGCTTAAATCGGTTATGGAGAAACTGTTGCCATGAGAACGGCTGTCATGGTAAGGACTAAACCAAAACCCAAATCCCGTGATTTAACTTTAGTTTAGCTGAAGTCAGTTGTAGGGAAACTATTGCCATGCTAACGACTAAAAAAAAAACCAAATCCCGTGGTAATGTAATAGTTATTTGCCAAGTTATAGATGATTTGTCACTTTAGTTTAGCAGAAATCAATTATGGAGAAACTGTTGCCAAACGTCTAAACAAAAATCTAAATGCGATGGTGAGGAAATACGTATTTGTCAAATTATTGAGAATTTAATTTAACTTTGATTTAGCTGAAATCACTTATGGGGAAATTTTTGCCATAGGACGCTTGTAATGGTAACGACCAAATAAAAATACGCGCCAGATCGACATATCTTAATCAACAATTAAAGTAATTAATCGCCGCCTATTGGGGGTTTTGTGGATTGTTAATATTATAGGCATATAGGAATTTTTGTTATACCTAACAACTTACTTATTATTTATTTATTAATTGTTATATATACTATGTATTCGAAATTCAAATAATGGTTATGACGTAGCGGTGTTCTTTTTATTGTAATCGTCTTCTACAATACGTTTATCAACTTGAATTCAAAAAGTAACATATTTATTTCTAAAAGACTCTTTAAACAAACAAGAGTATAAACATAAGCAGCTGTGTAGATGCCGACAATTTTTAAAATAATTTTGCATTAGGTGGCACCATGAGAAAACTTCTGAACTACAGTTTAATGAAATTACTAATAATTCATAATTATACTGAATAGTGTATTTCCAATAAAATAACCTTATACTACTTAGATTGTTTGAGTCAACAACAAACAACTACTAGACTAATGTTGTTTACAAAAACCGAATTGAAAGCATTCATAATACATGTAGTTACCAAATTATTATAAGATAGTCTTGTTACAAGCATTATTTATGATTATAACTCGGAATTGAATTACCATGAGGCATCTGTTTAAAATAATTAATATTATTATTATTATTATTATTATTATTATGATTTACAGGAGAGGACACCATATATTTACAGTGTGGCAATAGTGTAAAGCAGGAATAATAGTAGTACGACCTGGTTCATTCATAAAACGCCTACTCATATTTCAGATAAACAAGTTTGCATAAACCATCCCCACTCAATTTAACAGCCGTCTGGCACTTTCTAATGCGACAGTTGCCTAATAAAAAATACAATCTGATTGGTTGGGATAAATAAGGGCCTAATTATGAATGAATAGATTAGTCCAATTCTAGTAGTTCGTCGTTGGTTTAAGTAAAGGAATGTGACGTGTGACAGTTGTAAAGAGATAGAAAGGTGCTAAGCATGGAATAAAAATTGTCTGAGCATTTTTTTGACTTTTTTGTAATTTTAACAAATCCGTATTTAAAAATTATTTAAAAAATATGATTTTACCTACAGGTAGGTAATCGTTAATTCACCACTAGAACAACACCGAAAGAAGTAAAGAGCGGCGCAGTAGCACGTGACAGCTCCCAGGTACTGGACACTAGGTAAAATGATGGTATGCCGTCTTATGGGAAAGCGATTTATAGATATTGAAACCTCAAAGTTTTCGGCACAATTTCTTGGTTGGGAAATGTTGAAATACAGAATTAGGAACGATTCTCTGTGAAATGATTATTTTAATAGATCCTAAACCAATTAACTGACCTTAGATTACTCCTCAAAAAAATTGTTATTGATTGGTTCATTTTATTTGAATTGGTTGAATTATATTTTTAATTTTCAAAAATTGGTAACGTCCTACCAGACAATGATTTTTATTGTATTTTTTGAGACCTCTATAAAGTCACTAAATATAATATGAAATATTTAAAATAGCATCATTATTATGTATGTATTTTGTCACATAATCTAACTTTTTACAATCAAAATTATTTTCAGGTTAAATTTAAAAGGAAAAAATAATAACACAAATAATAACACCATAAAAGTTCCCCTTAAATATTCCATTTTTTTATGATTAAGAAGTTTCCACTAATTATCTTTTTATAAACCTGTAGATTTTATGTACTATAAATACAATTAAATAAAAATTGCTTACCAGTATGGGGTAAATGATGTGGATAAGGTTGAAGCGTAGGTGGTATGTGGTACTGCACCACCTGCATAACAGGGTACCCGTGCATTTTTCCACCAAAAAATAGGTATATATTTAAAAGTATAACATCTAACACGAATTTACTACACTAGCCCTAAGGTACATATTCTTATTGTCCAATATTTCATTTTATCACAACCGTATCAATTCACTACAATTTTAAATTATTTACATTTTTCTCTTCAGTACACCTGCACGAAAACAATATTTAGGTGCTTGTCAGCTTTTTACAGAGGCTGCGAATCTTGTATGAATTTTGATTTTGGAGGGATATCAATCCCCGTTGCAGAGTGGTATTCAGGAGGCGGATAGTACATTATCAACTGATGAACCACAACAAAGATAGTATTATGACTTTATACAATTATATAAAGGGTGTTCCAATAAGAGTTTCCAAACTCCAAACTCTTATTGAAACATCAATTATTTTAATGAATATGGGGCAACAATAGAAAACTCCTTGACGGTCGTGTAGTTGATTTATAATAGCCATTTTGCTTTCCTTTCAAATTTAAATTTCTTGGTATACTTTTGTATTTTTTTTATATTTTGATATGTCCCATATAAATACTAGGAGGCAAGGAAAGCCCAGAAGGACAGCTTGCGCAATTGTAAGGAAGAAAGGAAAAACATTCAATAAACTCAAAGATATGACAAGACACCGACAATTTTTTTTTGTAAATGTTATACTTATTACTCACTCTTATACAAAACTAAGTTTTTTTAATAGACTGCTAAGCTTAAACGTATATTCTCTGGAATAAATGGAAAATAAACTAAATTGACTTTATCTGTAAAGCTGACTTAGTCTATTTTAATCACTGAATTTGAGTTTTTGGAAAAACCATCGAAAATTACCCATATGCATTATTAGTTGCCTCCTCCGCTCGCCTGTTTTTTATTACATTTTCTTATCTTGAACTTGCGTATTCTAATATTAATTTTAACGGAGCTGTAGCAAAGATACTCTTTGATTTTACCAAGGCGTTTGATTGTATCAATCATACATTGTTGCAAAAACTACGAATTTACGAAATCAAAGACGAGGCGCTGACAAAATCTTTACTCTTATAACGTAAGCAAATCATAAGAGCTATTAATGACTCTCAAATTTAAGATGTAAGTTAGGGAATCCCTCACTGTTCTTTGTTGAGTCCCATTTTATTTCTCTTTTATATAAATGACTTAACTGAACTTACCTTTGCAAGTACCTACTTTCTCTGTATCTGCTGATGATATTACCATAGTTTATAGCTAAAGAATCAGTTAGGTCACTCGGACCAATTGGATGTTCCAAAATAGCATCCACTCCAGGGATATAAATTCAGGATGCGCAGAAGACTGCTATTTGAATATAGGCGGTTGTCATATAGTATTGGTTATAGTAAGAGAGCCCACAGCACATACTTCGATTTTCTCTTACTATACGGAGAATGGTCGCACTGCGCAACTTTCTAAATGCCTTTTAAAAGGAGATAGAAAACTCCGCCATTTTGAACACTTATTACGTGTTTCCTACATTTTGGCGCAATAGTTTTAGTGGTTATGTTATAATATTTACCTAAAGCACAGTTTATAGCTAAATAATCAGTTAGCTCACTCGGACCAATTGGATGTTCCAAACTAACATCCACTCCATGGATACACATTCAAATGCGCAGAATACTGCTATTTAAATATAGGTGGTTGTTATATTATATTGTACTTGGTTATAGTAAGAGAGCCCCTCTGCAAATTTCGACCGTCATCTCATAACAAAATGAAATATGCTCCAAAGGCATGTAAAAACATTGTAATTTACCAAATTGCACCTGTGCCAATCCCTATCCTGAGCAAAGTGGTTAAAAAAATTTATTTATTATTCAAAAAATCACATAAGACATGATAGCGACAATTGTGTTTTCCCTGAAAATTATAATCCTAATTCATTGTGAATTATTAATATTTTTACCTACCGTTTAAACCATTTGCAGAAATAGTCAATAATAATTGGAAACTCTTGTTAGACAATTATTTTAAACCATAATCATAGTAGTTTTTTGTCGTTTCTATGGCAACCTGTAAAAAATGAATCACAACAATAGACATACAAATAAATTTTTAAATCAGCAAAAATGTATTCATATTTTTAATGATTTTTATCTTCTAATCGCTGATAGATGTTTTTGTGCGATGTTTTGGAAAAGAAAATGTTTCCTTTTAACGATATATATATCAAGATATGCTTGAATATGTTATTTTCTGGAAAACTTTAAGGGCAAACAAAATTAGCGCTGTGGTGCCTTATGTGATTTTTTAATATTAAATAATTATTTTAACCACTTTGTTCAGGATTGGAATTGGCACGGGTGCCATTTGGCAAAGTACAATGTTTTAACATACTTTTTGGGGTATATTTCATTTCGTTATTAGATAACGGTACAAATTTGCAGTGGGCTCTTGGGCTATTATGATTTGATTCTGTATGCACCAGGGATACAAATCCGAGTTGCGCAATGTATAAACTGGAACATTAAGATCAAAAGTGCCGACGCAGAGTAAGCGAACTTATTCTATAAACTGTGATATTACGATCTTATGGCACAGCAATGACACCTACTTTTTTTATAACAACAAATATTGTGATATTACTATTACTATATGTGTCAAATATATAAAAATACTCACCCCTATATACGTTATAACATTGACTGTACTGATACAATAAAAATTATAAGCATTAATGTAGACAATAATTTTATTAGAAATAATGTAAGAACCATATAGAATTGCTAAACAAAAAAACTTTCTTCTAGATGTTCTGCAGTCAGAACTGTGGCAAAATAAATTAATTTTAAACTAAATATCCCATTTAAAATATATGGAACTGCATTTTGAGGAGGTTGTAGCCTTAAGGTATTCAATACTTTTTTATCTGCAAAAAGAGCATTACGATGTTTATGTGAAGTGAAAAATCTCGACATATTTTGTCAACCTCTTTGAGTAAAAGAATTATGTAACCAATTATTGCTTTCAACACTATCATTCCTTTCGGAAAATGTGATGGTTTTGTTGTCAAAACTTAAAAAAAAAGCTTGATAATCTTTAAATTGCATGAAGCTATTAGCTTGATCTGATGGTTTTGACAGAGAGAGAGACCCTTGCGCTCTTCAATATAAATATAGAGGTTTGGTAGCCACATCAAAAAATATAATTATTGCAAGCACTTTTATTAAAAAAAAAATAAATAAAGAATACATACAATAAAGAATAACATCTATTAAAAAAAAATTCCAAGCTCATTCTTTTTCAAAATAGCAAAAAAACAAATATAATAGTTATTTAAGTGTATTTGCGCCAATTCTACAAATTTGGCTACATTAGAGATTAAAGCAACATAAATGATATTGAACTGTGTTAGATATAATTTTAAGGTCCAACCTCTCAAGTGAACTGTATTCTATAAATTCGCTAATATCCTTTATCTTTATCGTTCTTAATATATTTATAAATGTTAGTTAAATATTACTTTTTTTCTTTAGCTGGTAGCTTCCAGGAATTACATTGGTGGAAGGGTCTAATGCGAGATGAATTTATTTATATCACAAATTATTCCTTTTAGTTGTTTTCGTAATGTAAATAAATCGTTATTAAAAAAAGTTTTTTGATATACCTGTTAAAGACATTATCTATTGGTATCTCGAAAACTGTAAGATTTTCGATAATTTATTAGATTATAAGAGTTCAACGTAGAAATGGTTGATTAAAAAAAAGTTGCAACGTCTGTGGGGTAAAAAATGGGATAAAAGTTACATCTAGGTATTTTCAAGACCACGTCAATGAATCAAGTATTAATTTTTTTCCAACGAAGTTCAAAACCAAACTAGCAATGTCAATAAAATTTAACTTACGGTACTCGGGAAAGAAATAATATTCTGGTCCTGATAGCGAAAAAGAAACAAGTGGAAAATGATTTTCAAAAAAAATTTGCCAGTCGCAAAACAAAGTTTTCACGGTTCAGCTGTTTAAAATTATCTTTAAGTAATGTTGTATTTAGGTAAGGATATCTCAGTATTATTTATAATAAAAATCTATAATCAACGAACTTTATAGCAAACAGTATAAAAAAGGTATAAGTTTCAAACTAGATTTTGAAAAAGGACAACATTTGGCAATTGCATTCTAAATATCTGATTCAACATTTGGCAAATATCTGATTATGACTCCTGTAAAGTGTTCAAATATATTGAGTTCGGCTCATTTAATCAAAAAATGTTTGATATACCAATATACCACACACATTTTATTCGAATAATTTTTTCATATTATCATTGAAAATACTGAAATATTCAAATTTTGAACTTTTCCTCAAATTTCTCGATTACAGTCCATTTTACAAGAATCATGTATGGGTCAAAAACTATATAAAATAATATAACAAACAACTCTTATTTAAAGAATTTGCGTCTCTATACTCTGTTTTTAAACTAGGAGGAGCGAATTGAAAAGACGCATTTACACAGGGAAAAGTAACTAGATTTGTTACTAAGAGCGAGTTTCGAAATATAGTCGTGTTCAAAATTTATGAAATAATTATCTTTATCGGCCTTAGTCGGTGAACGGCCAATGAGCGGTTAAGAAACGAATAAATGTCATAGAAGTAATTTTTTAATTGGTCCCAGACAACGGTCGCAAATTTCACATTATTGTGATCTGAAATGTGTGTCTAAAACGAAATGTCACTGTCAAAGTAAAGTCAATATGGTTGTTGATTGATGTCAGAAATACTTTTTTCTTGCTTTTGAAATCGACTTTTTGAGAATAACTATGATCTTTTTAAAATGGATATTAAATATTTAAGAAAATTGTTAATGGAATATCCAGATGTAGCCAGGTTAGTATAAAATATAAAGATCTGTTTACATTTTTAAGGATATATTTATTATAGGTATAAAAAGTAAATGAATGACAAGTGGATCACACAGTAACTGGTATCTCTTCTATGAGTAATGTGGATATTATGGCTTATTTAGTGTTAATCCATGGTTAATGCGCTAGAGGGCAAATAAAGGCATTCAAAAGTTTACAGGCCTATGAGTCAGAATTTGTTTTGAAAACTGGAACCAACATTTTCATAACACTACATGTCAACATATATTTTTTAAAGTGAACTATTCATACATACCTATGTATTAATTTTAAGTATTTTTAAAATATTTTTTGTGAAAGTAATGTTAACTCATTGTGCCAAATTAAGATTATCCCTAAAGT